GATCTAGGCGTCGTACTAACCTCAGCGTGGCGTCAAAAGATGCGGAATTAAATTTTCCGTCGGGTGGTAATAGTTTGTTGCCGGAATTTCCCCTTTAACCCGCGAAAATTTGCATAAAATTGTAATTTTTTATGGTTTTTTTTGTGTTTGCTCGCGATCTAGGCGTCGCACTAGCCTCAGCGTGGGGTCAAAAGATGCGGAATTAAATTTTCCGTCGGGTGGTAATAGATTTTGCCGGAATTTCCCCTGTAACCCGCGAAAATTTGCATAAAATTGTAATTTTCCATGGTTTTTTCGTGTTTGCTCGCGATCTAGGCGTCGCACTAACCTCAGCGTGGCGTCAAAAGATGCGGAATTAAATTTTCCGTCGGGTGATAGTAGTTTGTTGCCGGAATTTCCCCTGTAACCCGCGAAAATTTGCATAAAATTGTAATTTTCTATGGTTTTTTCGTGTTTGCTCGCGATCTAGGCGTCGCACTAACCTCAGCGTGGCGTCAAAAGATGCGGAATTAAATTTTCCGTCGGGTGATAGTAGTTTGTTGCCGGAATTTCCCCTGTAACCCGCGAAAATTTGCATAGAATTGTAATTTTCTATGGTTTTTTCGTGTTTGCTCGCGATCTAGGCGTCGCACTAACCTCAGCGTGGCGTCAAAAGATGCGGAATTAAATTTTCCGTCGGGTGGTAATAGTTTGTTGCCGGAATTTCCCCTGTAACCCGCGAAAATTTGCATAAAATTGTTATTTTTTATGGTTTTTTCGTGTTTGCTCGCGATCTAGGCGTCGCACTAACCTCAGCGTGGCGTCAAAAGATGCGGAATTTAATTCTCCGTCGGGTGGTATTAGTTTATTGCCGGAATTTCCCCTGTAACCCGCGAAAATTTGCATAAAATTGTAATTTTCCATGGTTTTTTCGTGTTTGCTCGCGATCTAGGCGTCGCACTAACTTCAGCGTGGGGTCAAAAGATGCGGAATTAAATTTTCCGTCGGGTGGTAATAGTTTGTTGCCGGAATTTCCCCTGTAAACCGCGAAAATTTGCATAAAATTGTAATTTTCCATGGTTTTTTCGTGTTTGCTCGCGATCTAGGCGTCGCACTAACTTCAGCGTGGCGTCAAAAGATGCGGAATTAAATTTTCCGTTGGGTGGTAATAGTTTATTGCCGGAATTTCCCCTGTAACCCGCGAAAATTTGCATAAAATTGTAATTTTTCATGGTTTTTTCGTATTTGCTCGCGATCTAGGCGTCGCACTAACCTCAGCGTGGCGTCAAAAGATGCGGAATTAAATTCTCCGTCGGGTGGTATTAGTTTGTTGCAGGAACTCCCCCTGTAACCTCGGCGTGAAGTAAAAGTTTAAAAGTAGTTGTTTTTTCGTTTTTTTTTTCCAGATTTGTCAATTGCCATTATCTTCTAAACTGTTTTTTTAATATAGTATGCATTTAATTCTGGATTTTAGAATACATTATATATACGAATAAGAGAGTAGTACATTCATAATATAAATTTTTTGTGATTGCATTAGACTGTATCAACATCCTAAATTGTTCATAGTTTACACTCTTGACTCCATCACTCAATCGGTGTTTGTGTACAAACAACTTGTTTTTATCACATTGCAGCGCGTCCAATGTGTTCAGCACTGTTTGTTCGCTCCAGTTCTTACTTAGTCGATCGTGCGCTGCCGCGTGGTGAGCGCGCGTCTAGATGCGGGACGGTTTTCGTGACGACTTATCGCGTTTCTTGTAATTTTAAATCGGTAGTTGAATTAGAATTGGTCAGCAAAGATAGAATTTAGAATTAACAAACGAATGCGGAGTGTCGTTAATGAGTTATCGCGCGTAGAACCCGTGGCTTTACGAGTATAATGTACGCACGTGTTTGCTGTCGGCCGTCGGATGCCTTCCGTCGGCTACGAATTCCTGGTGGACTTGTTTTGTGTATTCATTTAATTATTTATTTGAATAAACATCGTTTGTGCTTCTGGTGGATTATTTCAATTGCAAAGGCGTAAGAAAATGTGGTACGTAAATACTATATTTTATGAACATTTGACGAATTGAACAGTAAATGTAAATTCATCAGCTGACAATGAAAAGCAATCAGTTACATAATTAAACACTCTAAAAATAAGTAACAATAGCTGTCACATTAGATCCCGTTTTTGTGCTTTTGTTCCTTATTCTGTCTGTAAATGGCATGACATGTTTGCTAATTTGAGTTTAAGAGATCTTAGTTCAGTATTGCTTTAAAAGGTGTATAATAATTAGTAATTGGATTATTTATTATGTTTCTAACCCCGCACCTATCACTTCTCCTAGGTATTCAGAAGGAAACTAGTTATAAAACTTGCACTTTTGAAGTTTTTTTGTATCACCCTGTATAAAATAATTCTTAATGGTCAGTAAAAAATTAATTTTTTTTTATTGTTTTGATGCGATTGTCTTTTTAAATTATAGATTTTCTTTTGGTAACACCCTGTATATAATTTTCCATGGATGCAACGCGAAAACAGTGCGCAATTTGCTATTTTCTAGTGTTATCTTTTGTAATTTTGCAGCCGTGAGCATAGCGCGGCTATGCAGGTCATAAACATGTTTTAAAATGACGTCATATGTCTTGTAACTATTGAACATACAAGTTATGAACTTATATTGTATTTAGTTTGTTAATAAAGAAATGTTAAAGGCAATTGCTGTATCTTATGACTTGTGCACCCCTTCCTTCCATCATTTCAGGTACAGGTCACAACTTGTATTTGTCAGTGTTATGGTCGGCTCTGAGAGAGCGGCGACACTAAGAAATATGTCTACAAGTTCTCAAGGAATTCTCCCACTCGGGGGATGATCCCCACTATAAAAATTGTTAAGGTATCCTGTATGATTTGTGTACTCCATCTTTCATTTCAGGTACAGGTAAGAACTTGTAAGAATATTTTTAAGTGTCCCCTCTCGTGAGGCGACATAAAAATTAGAAATATTTTTTCAAGTTCCTAAAAGGATGTCCTTATAAGGAGTTCCCTCTCTCTGGGGATGATCCCCCACCATAAAAATTGTTGATATGCCTGATAATTCCGGGGATGAAGCGCAGAGACATCGTAGCTGTAGGATGGGCCGGGAGCAATGGATGGACCGAAGCAGTGGGCGATCGACCAGAGCGCCGGAGGCGCTCTGGGAGATCGACCTGTGACTGTCTTATAACGACACGTGCCAAAAAATTTAAAAATTCTGTCACCCCTATTCTCTTTTCTTCCTGTACTCTCTCTTCTTCTTCTTCTTTTCTTCTTACTTCTCCTATACTCTCTCTTCTGCTGCTGCTGCTCTCTATTTGCTGCTCCTCCACCATCTTCTATTTATTCTTATTGTTGCTTCGTTGTACTTTGCTTTTCAAGTTATTTCTAACATTTGAATCTTGAATTTTTGTGGTATGCAACCCACATTTCGTAAATTTCTTATTATTTAATAAAATTGCCTTCTACATCAGAGATTCGATCCATGAACCTCCTGCATGCTAACATATGCACATGCCACCTGAGCCACACGGCTCTCTTATCAAATCTTATTCGTTTCAGGTATAAATGTTGTTGTTTTTCTCACCTTTTTAAAAACAACAACATTTATGTACCTGTTATTCACATTTCAAACACGTACTATCAAATGTGGTCTTTAAATCTAATTCTGAAAACGACAAAGAGGAAACATAGACAAATATACTAGCAAATGTAATATTAAAAGTATAGTTTATTGCAACTCATACAATCACAAAAGTACATGGTGAATTTTAATATTATTTGTTAAAATTGAATTATTTTATTTATTGAATAAGTTCAAGAGTTACCTCGCTTTTCTTTAACGTCTGATAAATTCATTTTGTCCATGAAACATCTGCACTAATTGTTTAATTCATCGAATGATAATGTTGCACACTTACCTACGTGCACTTTCTTGGTTGAAATGTTCCACACGGGGACAAACAGTGTATAGTTTCACAAATTAACATCATTACGCAAATAAAACCACTGGGGCGGACGTAAGATATCCGGCGGCCGACGGCAAAAACGTGCGCACATATAAAACTACACAATTTTTGTTTCCACGCGCGATAATTCATTAACTGCTCGCCGCACTAGTCCGTTAATTCTAAATGTTATCTTTGTTGATCGATTCTAATTTAACTACCGACCTAAAATCTCAAGAAACGCGCAAACTAGTTACGAAGATCAACTTGTGTACAAAACACGTGTGTACCGAACAACATCGCACGATCGACTAAACAAGGAAAAGATATAGCAGGCTACTTGAACGAAGCAGATATGAAAACGATAAGAATTTCAATACTCACAATTGAATGCGGGCACGTTTGTACACCGAGGTCTCGTTCAACTTCTTGACATCTAAAAAAACAAACACAAATCAGATGCGCTGTGATTTGTGACTTTAATTCATTTTTAATACGCTAAATTAACTAAAACTTTATAGCATCTGAATATAAAGATAACAAAAATTGATCTAATATGGTAATAATATATTACTTACTAAGTAAATTTTCTCATCACAATCGTCTTCAACAAATGTTGTATCCACAAAGGTAATATCCGACTGATGAAACTCATAAGAAGACACTAAATGTGCGCATTTATGAAAATTACAAACCCAATTAATCATAACTCAATTCTCATTCACTGCAGTCGATTGCCAATTGAATATTGCACTTTAAAAACACGCGATGTAACACCACGGAGATGCGCTAAGACTGCACAACTAACACTACCGGAGCCAAAGGCAGATGACAATGTTGAGCGCGTAAGCAAAGTAAAGTGCGCTGCGCATGCGTACATGATGAATTCTACCGGTAAGTGCACTTAAGTGCATACACAACAAACGCGCACAAAACGCAGCTCCAATCTAAAGGCAGTCAAATTAATAGAAAACATTGAATATACAAATTAAATGATGTACAATTGAAATACACTATTTAGAAGGAAACACAGAAACAATCAATGGCAATTAATATCTGTAAGAGTTGTATTGAGGGTTTTTGTTTTCGCCGCAAGAATCGCAGCCCATTTCTTCATCATAATCGTTCATTTTTTACAATAATCATATTGATATTCATTATAAATCGTTTAAGTAACCAAATAACCTGATCAAGGAGTGAAGGTGGGTTTTGCATAGGGTCGGGACGCAGGTCGAGGATCTGGATAAAGGACTCAAAAGAAAAGAAAAAATTACACACAACTACTGACCAAAAAAATAATAAACAAACAAAAGAAAAAAGATCTGTAAAAATACAACGCGTCCGAGGACATGAGACGTACGTACACGTACGCGCACGCCACAACATCCCAATAATTACATAGTTACAATTAAAATGCAATCATTCAATAAAAAACACCTATTGCATGTCTCGCTACACACCGCATCTAATCGCAGTCAGACTGAAAAACTGTAACAATTTAAGTACCATGTGTTTCGTTCTCTCGGCTTGCGCGCGCTTGCACTTCGAAAATTTGTACCTTAGACATTGGTGTCTAACATAAGAAGAAAATGCAAAATCAACAACGAATCGGCTCGCATCTGCTTATAAATTAAAAATAAATTACAACACATTTATTTAAGTTTTCAGCGTGACGTAACATTAGATTCTCGTGTAGGGGGTGTTGATTGGTTTGGTTCGATCATTTCGTAGATATAAAAGAAACACTCTCCCCGCGCACGTCTCCAAATAGAAAATACATCGACCAGCGCGATGTACTCTTGCACCCTTTTGTTTAAATTTTCGTGTTCCGCTTAAAAGTATGACGCAAACAGTTGCACACTCGACCTCCGGGGGGTTGATCGGAGTCAGTTTAAAAACGTTTAAATTATAATCTCATCAGATACATCAATTGTTTATCTTTTTTGTGTGTGAGGTGGATGGGGGTGATGAGATCGTGTGCGCAACTGTTTAAACAAATCTCATTGTATCGAATGGACATTATTAATCAATAACTTATTTAGCAATTTACTATACAAAATTGATCCTAATACAGGAGAGATTGCTCCGTTTCGCTTTCCATTTTTTGAAAGAGCTCTGCTCGTATGAATATGACTATAAGAGGCCATCTGAGCGTGGACACAACGCGCGCATCAGAACGCATCGCACGCTCAGTTCTTTCATTCGAAGACAAATAATAATAATAACCCATAGGAACTCAACACTTGCTTAAAATATACTATTCAAACATTTGTGGGCGATGCGTCCTGACGCACTGGACTTTACGTCCACGCGCAGATGGCGTTTTAACGTGAAACATTAATAATATATTTTTATACTTTATATAGTAATAATGATTTCTTGTGTACTTCATTTGTTTGAAAAAGTTCGCTCAATTGGTCAATCAATCAAAGACTGCCGTTCTTTTTTTAAGTTTCAGTGTTTTTTTTTGTTTTTGTGTGTTGTTTCTTGTAATGTTTAATTTTCCGCATTTTTTTCTCAAATTGTTTGTTTGTGATGTAAATTCTACGCTGTACAATATTTCATCTACACACGCTGAGCTGCTCCACATTCGCTGCCCCGATTGGTGATCTCGTAGCGGCGGTTCCAAAACGAACCGCGATCTCAGTTGCACTCCGGGAACCACCGAAAATTGTCAGCAACACAACTAGTTTATTATATAATATTCGTGCCCGTCTGTCAAATACTGTGGGTCCGCGCAATTTTAGAGTTTATACGTCCACTAGCATCACTGGCTCACCGCAGGCGATTTCTTATCAGAGTCCTGGTTATTGGGCGCGCCGCCAGGCCCACCCGGCGGGCCACCACGATCGCCCACGCCGGGCCCGCCCCACGAATTCGCGCCCGGCATCGGTGAGTCGGCGTGGAAGCCGTGGTTGTCGTGATCCAGCGAGTTCGCCGCGTCGTACTGCGTATTCTCCAGTCGCGTGATCAGCCGCTCGTCCTCGTCCCCGAACTCGCCACCCATCAGCGAAGGTTCACCCACTACCATTACGTCCTGCAACAGATCGGAATGAGACCCACAATAAAGCATCACTTAAACACTTTGTAGCTAACGTAAACACTTACTTGTGATGCTAAAGAGAAATTCGGTCCCGGTGATCGTTTCTTGTTGGGCGCGGGAGGCGCACTGTTCGCAGCCCCGCCCGAATTGGAGCCCTTGCGTTTTCGTCTCTTGTTGGGCGGTCGTTGTGATTCTGGAAACAAATTCATTCATCGCATCACCACTTCTTCGTCAAAACCACAAAAGTGCAAATTTATAATATCGTAGACATTCTCTTCGATCGCCTACAAAGTTCGCCATTGCAATTTGGATCCGCGCGCGTATTCTTACAAGGACGAACCGAGCGAGCGGGGGAGTGCATTATAAAATGGGTACCTCTCTTACCCGGCGGGGCAACCATCCTCTGCCACTTTTGAAACAGCGTCGTCTTGAGGCAGTCGCGCGGACTCAGCGCGTACGCCTTGTGTCGCGACATCAGCTCCTGCATGGGTTCTAATATTACACATAGCTGTAACAAACCATAAAATAAATAAATATTATCCACCTCAAAACACAAAGTGTTAGAAATTTATTAAACCTACCCTAAGATAATTTAATGTTGAATTCGTGATGCCCTGTCGCGTAATGTTTTTGGAGAGCGGCTCCAGCATGGAGGGGTCCTGCGAGGAGTGCATTCCGACGACGGAGCGCGGTATCAGTTCGCGGTGCGCGCGCACGTTGAACAGCCACGACTTTATCCGCATCAGGTCGTCGAACGTGAACTCCAATATGAGGCGACCTTCTGTACACACCTAAAAAAACACAGACGCCATTTTAATATGCATCATTTGTGGTTATGTGCATTTCACTTACCGTTGCAAACAGTGGTTTGCCGTGATGCGTAATCATCGTGCATAGATCACAGTCGAGTGTAATACTAGTATTATGGAAGGATTCTTTCGGGTGCTTCATATTGTAGTACAATTCCGTCACTCCGCCCTCGAATATGCTTCGGAAATACCTTGGAATCAAGGTCCTTCCTATTGCTGCTCGAACAAACACAATTATTTTTAATTATTCCAACATAATTCACAGAATAAACATACTATATCTCTTAGGTCCATCTTCTAAACAAAACGCTAACGTCAGGGAGGCGTCATCTTCGAAGAACTCGGTTGCGAAGGAGTCCCACCACAGGTTATCACACTCCTGAATCAAATTTAAAAACAAAACACAAAATAAGTAAGCATAAAAATTGTTTACTTCGATAGGGCCGTGGTAAGAAGAGGTAATAAGTGTCACGATAATTACATTGCTTGCGCTCACCTCAGTCCTCTGCTGCAGCCGCTTGTTGAGTTCGTAGATGCGGTAATCGGGCTGGCCAAAGTATGGCGTCGGTCTTCTCGGCACGGGCAACGATCTAAAATCACAAATTCAAAAATAAACAACACGAAATTCCGTAAATATTCAAGTAAAACCGATGACATCCCAATAATCGCGATTGAAAACATGAAAATTGGTCAGTGGTGTTGTTGATTGCGCCGCGGACCGAGGAAAAGATGTAAGGATTAGGATAAAGGAGGAAGGAATCAACAGGTCCCTGCGCAAAGTGGACAAAGTTTCATTTTGTTCCCCATACAACCATAGGCAACCAAAACAAAACAGAACAAAATAAATGGTTTAATATTATCGGTTGTGTAAAACCATGACGTCGTGTGCGTTCCCGTTAACACGTGTTGCGTGTTATTATTTACAATAATCTAAATTTACGCTGTAGGTTTTGTAAATGTTTACACTAATGCAATGATCAAAGGCGCAGGCGAGAGAAACACGTTGCGTGACTGCCGTCGACTAAGCGTAATCCGATTATAAAATTAGTTTACAATTAACATGCATAATTAATTAATGCAGCGTGAACGAAGGCAGCGAACTACTTTCGTTTTTCTATGCGTTTATTACCTAAAGTACGGATTACCAAATGGCGAACAATAGAAGGGATCGCCGCCGCCGCCGGTGTGCATCGGCACCGGACACATCGGATGCGGCCCCATGAGTTGTTGCTGCGTCTGCGGCTGCCTGGGTCCGCCGCTGCCGCCGCCACCACCACCACCAAGGTACAACGGTGGTGGACAGCCGCCTCCCGCCCTCGCAGCAGCAGTCGGACCTTGCAACCGCACCGGCATATATTTACAGCGCCTCGTGTTGTCGCACACTTATAAACAACACAGTCACAATTTTTCCTTTACATCACCATAGCGATGACACAAACAACGCAAATCGATGATGCACGTTGTTGTTATTCAGACGTTTTGTTTATATCTATATTTCAACTTATTATTATATTGCGTACGCATGCGCGCGCGAAGCACATCATCTGTGTGCGATTTTTTTTTTGAAAGCGCAGGCAAAAAGAAGCTGCGGGAGAAAAAATCAACCGCGCGCGCACCACTGCCCCCGATCGGCGGCGAATTTATGCGGCGCCATTGGCGGCGGCGGCGTCACGCATGATACGTACACGCAACGCGTTCGCACGAAACACGCGCGCGAGCCACACTGAGAACCAGCGGCTCAGTGCCATGGATTCCTGCCGGCCCCGGCACGCATGCACACACATACACCCACACACACACACCCACCAACACACAGAGACAGGCGGCATATTCCGGGCGCGATATTGATCACGCGCAAACGAGACGCCAGGGGGCGGCAGAAGGCAGAGCGAGCGAGGCAGCTAGCTCAGCGCGCGCGCCAGCTCTCCAGAGGACTGGATCTGGTCTAGGTGTGTAAGAGCATACCTTCCAAAGGCTGCACACCGTCCGACAAACACACAACTTATACAAACACCCTGTATATCCACACATTTCCACTCGAATAGATTGACATACCGCAACCCTATATACATACATAAACGCGCTCATACTTTGACATGCGGTACAAGCACCGAACTCGCTCTGAAACTCTCGTAACTCAAGCGCAAGTCCTTGACCTTGAAAATTTTCTAATAACAATGAATTTAATTGAAACAAAGTGAAAGAATACCACAAGCGACAACCAGTTGCACTTTTATCATCATGCTCGCGTGCCACAGCGACAGATAATTAATAACGCCAGATAATCAATCAAATCATAAAATCCACCGGAGTAAAACAGAAAACACAGAAAAAAGAAAATGCAAACACTCTGTATGTGTGCGTAATTAATGTACTATATTACGTTGTTTGCTTTTTTTCTCTCCTGTTACGATCGATTGTCAGTTTTTGGGGTCATGTGTGCTTTCCATGTACTAGTTTGGTGTATATAGTGTACGCGCGGGAAAATGAAAACTACCCACGGAAGGAGCGCCGCGTACAACACCCCCTATAGCCGCCGCACTACCGCCCCCACCTCACGCCAACGCTCGCTCGACGAATGATTGATTAGTCGACGTCGGCGGGACTGCGCTCTACGCTCTTCCTGGTCTCTTCGTGTTCTGTTTCCACACGGAGACACGCAGAATGGACAAAAATATGCAGGTCGTGCATTTCCTTTCCACGGAAGCACTAATTTTTATTATTACCAACATACATTAGCGCGGAATATACCGAGTGTTGAAATTTTTTACAAATTCAGAATTTAAAATTTAGAAGTCAATCAGCCGTTTGTCCTTGAAGAAATATATAATTAATATTCTTGAAAGAGAAATATGTTGCATTAAATAAAGTGTATTATTTGAAGAATGAAACAACTGAAAACAAAACCACCGAGATTACGATACACAGGCCAGGCCAGGCCAGGCAAGAAGTGATATCGTGGACAGCGGCCGCGAGGCGAAGAATGAAGAACCATGAAGCTCGAGTCGAGAAGCCAAGCGAACAACGCACTAAGAGAAACAGGTTCTTTCGTTACGTATGTGTTCGTATGTGTTTTATACACAAATGTGTGTGTGATGCACTCGCTGACGACCAACAACGTAAAGTGAAGAAGAGTCCAAACTACTCCACAAAGAATCAACAACAGATCAACGCAGAACAATAAAATTAAACGAAAACTTAAAAAAACTGAAAAACAATCAAACGTACGAGTATTTGTATTTTATAACCTTTATAACATTTTTTCCTCTACCTATCTAAAAGTCTACTCTTTACTCATGAATTTTATTTCTTCTTTTTGTGTAGAGGTGGTTTTTTTTTGCGCTAGAAGAAGAAAAAAAGCAACGGCACCGAGGATAGTTGTGTGCGTTACATTGACTACCACGAGTACAATTGTTACTACCCATGTGGATGTGTAGTAGTGCGAGAGCAGCACTGGTAGCCGGCGGCGTGTGGAGGACGCGGATAATAAAATTGGAGTAAAAAGAGCCGGCCCGAGAGAAGAGGAGAGCAGCGAACACGCGTTGCCGCGGCAACCGTAACGCGCGCGCAACGCAAGGTGTTGTGCACAGGTGAGGAGAGGAGCACCAGACGAGGCCCCGAAAACCCAAACTCAAACCCAACATGAAATATCCTACTTCATATATGCCCACACATACAAAGCCAGACAAAGTGTGCAAGTTATCCTATCCTATGAATATTAATGATAATAAAATATGGAAAATCTAGGTGAAACCAATAATTAATACGTTAAAAAAACGTGTAAAAACAGCGAAAGAAAGTACGAGTAAGAATACACCGTTATAATTTGCACTAGAATATGTCGTAGCAGTCATTAAAAGGCCAGGCCGGCGGCGAAACTGGCAAAACTATTCTACCGCGAGCGCGCGCGCGTTCGCACAATGAGGACAAAAGCTAATTGAATCGCTGCGTTTGTTCGCGTTGTCCGCGCGCGCGGACAAATTGTTTAACGAGCCGATGCGTCGATACCGTCACAGGCAACTTTCAACTGAAATAACCTAAGAGAAGCGCACGGCAATTTCATTCTACCGCTACCAAAGTCAAACTCAAACTAAAACTCAAAAACGGTACATGATTACCTATACAAACTTTTACAATTAAAATAAAACCACATTGTATGTCACCAATAAGTAAACAATAACTCCCACAAACTTTTTACTTCACCATTAAGTCAAACACCAAAAGATTAGTTCTAAAAACAAAAAATTCCCCGAGAAATCAATTTTTAATTTTTGTCCCTATGCTTTGACTTGCGGTACGAGTATTGAGTATGCTTGTTTACTGCTGCTGGTTTATCCCATTCCACGCTTAATGCTTAAGTTAAGACACATAGATAAGGACGTGCAGGGAATGCGTCCTGCGTCTAGACACAGGCGCAGAGATAACGCAAGAAGAGTATGCGCGCAGCAGTCGAACAAGAAGAGTCAAGTTTAATGGTGATTTATAGTCGACACATTAGACACACTCGGCTGGCTTTTGAAGCCTTCTTCCATCGACAACCCAGCAGTGCGCGCGCACACATACACATGCACTATGCACACGCATACGTGTGCGTCGCACGTGGAATGTGGAAAATCGTTAAAATTCCCTTGACTGCAAACATTACAACATTACCAACAACACAAAAAGAATACTCACAAGTCATCAGAAAAACAAAAAAAAATTAATCCCAAACTAAAAATATGAATATTTTTTGGGTTTGGTTATTGAGAAATGTAGAATTATTAGTATTAGAGTGGAGTTCTGGTAGTGTGGTAGCCAAAACGATCGACACTTATACACACATACACAGAGGAGAGACGTGAGCGCACACAGGTCGAACAAAACAAAACGTACGCCGCCGCTGCCGCTGCTTCTGCTGCCGAAGAACTCTTTCTTCGCGACGCTCGCGCGACTCGCTCGACGAGTTTACGCGCGCGGCAGCCGGCCAGAACGGTCGATCACACCGGCAGCCGCGCACACAACAACCACCAGGAGACGAGCGAGCACAGCTCAAAGTCGAGAACCTACGTAGCACAAAAAACTAAAAACTAACGGCAAAACAATATAAACTCAAAAAAATCAAATTCTAAAGTAAAATCAACGAAGAAACAAATAATTTCTACGTGTCTTCATATTTCATTAAAAATTAAAACAAAAAAACGTAAAAAATAAAATTTTGATTTTTGTTTTGGGGAAAAAATGCGAGTTTTGCGCGCCAGGCTGTACAGAAGCCGTCGTGCCGGCATTAAAGCGGAACAACCATTCGAGCGCGCCGCCACCGCCGGCGGTAAAATCAATCCCCGCCTCTCTTACACTCGCTTCTACCCGCTGCACACATATGCAAATACGCAAAACGCACGTTTTTCCAATGTCGACCACACACACACACTATATTTATATGTGCATGTGTTTAACTAAGAACATAACACGTGCCGTGGTGCCAATGAATGCCAAACATACGGCGGTGGCGGCAGAATCGGAGACGGCAGCGACAGCCTCGATCTCCCAGTATACACATGGCGCCGGCGACTAATTGAGATGATCGCCACGACGCACAACACCACACACACACACTGTATGCGTAGATCGATACCGAATCGATTCCACTTGCATGTGTGGCATAGAAAACCAATAAAAGTTAAAAATAGTTGCGACTGGTGTTTGCTCAACACACAACTCTCAACACATGCATTTTGTGTCGCAACTAAAACACTACGAGAGAGCGAAAAAAAAAATCGATGTAAAAATATCCATATTGTAATTAATCAACCTGTCAAACTTAATCACTTACCGTGTTTACACCCCCAATGAAAAGATCATTAGCCCCGCCGAAGGAGAAGAGCGTGACATTCTACATTAATACACACATACGACAGACACATTCAAACACAATTAGCACATTTACTTGGAAAATCTACCCCTTTTCGCGCGTACTGAGAGATAAAGAAATATGACGCTGGAACCTACCCCGTCGAGGATTATTACATCATCACCCTCATTCTTTTTGTGTGTGCAACCCTTGCACATGTGTTCAATGGCTACAGATGACTAAGAGCACTACCAAAGTTGGAGATGCAATAGAATACAATACAAAAACACATACTACACACATGCACATGCAGATGATTATTGAATTACACCGGCATTCATTTTCATCCCTTACAAAAGAAAAAATAACATACAGTGTGTTTAAATTATATCCAAACACAATAAAAGCATAAAAATAAATACCCTGTATAATACAAGAGAAAAACCCGGTACATTAAGACGGTGTGTGGAGGTTGCGGGGACGCGCGGAGCAAGGCGGCGAGATGATGAGACCCCCAAAGGGTGAGTTTTCACGACCAGAGGGGTTTCGCTCGCCCCTGCAGTTCTGCGTGCTGCTTTCATTCCAGTCGCACGCACACACCACCGCCGCTATAGCGCTTTTCTTTCCTGCTCCCAACCACCACCCACTGCGCCACCCTCTCGCCGAGAGCAGATATTACGAGGGGTGGCGGTGGCGGCAGCGGCAGTGAAACCTAAAGGCGAAGAGCCCATTCAAACCCACGCTACACACCCACACTGTGCAACAGCAGCAGCAACCCCTCGTCGGTTTTCATACCAAGGGGTGGCTGGGTGGATGATGCTGCCTGCCACCTTCCACCCCTGGTCCCTCTCTCTGTGCACACCCTCCGACATCTCTCCCTCATCTTGCTTTCTGCACCACTTCTCTTTTTCGCGTGTTCCAGACTATGTAATGTAGCAGTGCGCGCGCGCACATTTTATTTATCATCTGTCATAGGCCGCGCCGCTAGAGTTATTTTAGTTTATCACTTTACTGACCTACATACACGCCAACCCCCGAAAGATGCAAGCCGGAACATTTGTCATCTTGTCACACGGCGGGCGCTGTTAAGTGATACACGACGCAATTAGCACAATAATTAATCGTGTGATACCTTCACGCCGTAAATGAGGAATTAATCAATTCGATTTGCATATTCAATTCAATTTAACCCAGAGTCTAGGATGAAGAAGAACAAAGAAGATAAAAAAGTTTATTTGGTGCGAAATCCACGTGTAATTAAAAGGCGTAATTATCAATTAAACGCAACACCACCATCGTCGCTTTATTCTCTTTATAGTGCAAATTAATTAACTGAATGTGTTTTTTTTGCATTGCACTTGACCGCAACTCTCAGCGCGTACAAATTACCAAATCTATCAGCGACTTTTTGCAGGCGCAGTTTCTTCTGGCGTGCCTTTTAAAGATTGATCACGATTGTGAATGAATGCTGCAGCAAGTGCGAATCCATTCGATCCGTAAATGTAATGGCGCGTTTTTTTACTCTCACCAGAGAGCAACATGTGGATGGATTGCAGAATAGATCGAAGATATCTTAACTCTCGCGCAAGTTACAAACAAAGAAAAGAAAAAAAGAATACAAACGCGTTGAATAAGTCATTTTCACCATTTCTACACGTGTTTCAACACGTTTTTCTGTAAATTACTTCATTTTATTTTACATTACATGACACTTTTTTGAATCTACGTTTTAAATATTATTTTTTTGCGCGCGCGTTTGATGCATGTCTGTGTGCGTGTTCGCGCGGATGGCGCCCCCGCCGTGAGCCGCAACCATCCCCCTTATCGCCGGTCGATACTCGGAGCGCGGTCGCGGCGCGTCGTGCGGTCCCGGCAGCAACTCCTACAACTTCCCAGCCCCTGTGTACGCGTTCCAAACGCAAACGCTTCGGAAATTATTTCGAAAAAATCTCGCATGTTACAACAACAGACGCGTGGATCTTGACGACATAGTTCATAAACACCAAAGCTTTTTTTTTTATTGACTCTTGGTTATAGCGCGTGGGTAAAGTGTGTTAAGAGCAATGCAAACATGCGATAAGAAGATAAAGAGACAATCTAATCAGCGCACCAGGCCGAACGCATGTTCTTCTGTCAATAAATCTCTTATCATTGATCGCGCGGGCGTCAAACAAGCGAATTACTAACACACTTTGTGAATTAAACATTTTTAAAGACTTTTATGCATAACATATCGATATCATCGGTTTTACTTAAAAAATAAAATGTTTTAATGAAATTTTTCACTTACCCCTGATCCATCCTATCGACTGGATTGGGCCCTGGTCCCATCTGCCCCGACATCATCCCATGCCCAGGTCCCATCGGCCCCGACATCGGATGTCCCGGTCCCGGCCCAAACGGCGACCCCGGCGGCATACCAAACCCACCGGGTCCCCCAAACGGTTGTCCCGGTGAAGCAAAATGCGGATTACCCCCAGGTCCACCCGGCCCCGGCCCACCGACAAACGGTGGCCCCGAAGACCCGGGTCTTCCATACGGTGGACCACCCGCCGACGGCGAGCCGAAAGGTCCCGGCCCCGGTCCATTATACGGTGGGCCGGCACTGTTTGGCGGCGGTGGGAAGCCGGCATTGCCGACGCTCTGCGGCCCCGGGCCGGGACCGGGCGTCGACGAGCCGGAGGGTGCCGGCGAGGCGGTGTACTGCGGCGTGGTAGAGCCGGGCGGTGGGCCGCCACCATACGACGGCGCCCCCGCCGGCGAGCCGGCACCACCCGGCGGCCCCTGGAACGGCGATGGTCCTTGAAAGCCGCCGGCGCCACCCGGCCCCGAAAACGAGTTGGCGTTCGGCCCTCCGAAGTTCTGCCCCTCCGAGCCGGGCGGCGGTCCCTTCCAGTTCGTGGCGGGGTCTTCCAGCGTGACTGGCAGCGTTATGGGGGGCGCTACGCGGCGGCTAAGGCCTGCAACACACAATCGACAATCATGTGTTACTGCTGATAACACGGCGTCGTGTAAACACAACAAGTGAATAAATACCAACATTCATACAAACGACCTTAGCATACATACAACACAGAAAAAAAAACATGAAGTTTCTAGAAAACGTAAAACAAAAGAAAAACAATGATGGCGGGTATAGTTGTTTATCGTAAAACAAAAGCCGGCGCGACGAAAAACAACGATCTTCGACACAAGTTTAAACTACTGCTGGTGTAGGTATGAGTGTGTATGGTAGGTAAACAAGCAAGGATGAGAGGTTAGGTAGAGCCGGGTCGAGCCGGATTGTAAGTACCGTGTGGCCGCGGGGCAAAATTCGAAGGAAGCCCGAATTCTTTTCCAAACCACCACACGACCAACGCGTTATATGGTTTGCGTCCCGGCTACTACTTGTTGCCAACCGAAACAAAAACGCAACGACGACGGCCTCAACAAACAAATGCTATCGCTAGTGTAGAGAGTATGTGTGTATACGCTTAAAATTACATTTATTTTTTCGCTGTCCGGCGCGACCTTGTCTCATGCTGGCGCTGCGCGGCGGCTCACGCTCGCGCGCCACTCGTAGCGTTCGCGTTCGACAGCACGCGCAACAGCGTGCTCATGCTTCTTCCTCCTCCAGGGGTGTCGGTGGCGGTGGCGGCGGCTTCTTCGTCGGCGCTAGCAGGCGATGCGCCGCATCCGAACATGTTTCGCCACGCACCACGCGCGATACATGTGCGAGGGATGTGTGTGCACACACCACACAGTATTATTCACAATGCAATTCTCACTCTCAACACACAACAAAAACACACGCACGTACGCACGCGCCGCGCACACATGCACTGTTATTAAATAATTTCAAACAACACACACTCGACAACGACGACGGAAAAAATTTGCTGTTGGTATATGCGCGAATCGCGGCGACCCCGAGTCCTCCCGTGGCTGGTGTGGCGCTCGCGCCGCGCTAGTAAACACCGCCGTGCTGCGCTGCCAATGGCGCATGTTTGCTGCCGGCCATCTTTGAAAGCGCGGTGCGCGCACACGCCGGCGTCGTCGTGCAGCACCCTGCCTTACCGACAACCCACAACACACTACTAACGCTATCTTCACACTACAAAACAATAACCGAGCGTGGCGTAGACACGACGAACACGCACGATCCGCGCCGAACCTACAAACGTGTATCCACCGGCGAAAAACGCACACAAAAAAACAAAATTTTGTTTTCCACTGACACAACCTGTGATTGGCTCGTGGATTTTCCGTCGCGCTCTAGGACGCATGTAAAGCATGCGTGGTGCATTTTTCGCTCTGTCGGTGGTGGTTTGACAGTGTCACCCTAAAAATCAATAAGTTGGCCGCCCCGCGCGCGCGCGCCCGCTCATTCAGCATCGCGATTATCATCACGTTCGCGTTCACACGCATGCGAATGCATGTGGGTGAGTGAGAGGGAAGGCGATGTGTAGTAGAGTGCACTCACTGGTCGGGAAGGGGACGGCAATGGGCCACTTGCACTCCGCACACATTCAAACAGCGCACGCAGTATACGCGAGTGTGCGAAAATTTCACGAGTAGGATGGGGGCGTGTGAGCTACACGGACGTGTCGCGCGACTGTCGCACCTTTGCACAACTGTACCAATATACAGAGTGTTTAAAATATTTTTTTTATTAAAAAAATTTTAAAAAATATTTATCACTCTGTATTTAAGGTAAAACTAAAAATCGAAACATGTCAATTTCGCACAACTCACCAACGACGCTCATTGCTTAGCGGGCGAATAATCGCTCGGTGAATAATCCTGCGTGCGGCGGCGGTGGTGGCTCCTTGTGGTCGTGACGTGCCCGTTGGTGCGCGTCCGTTCCTCCTCTTCCATCACATAGATGCGCTGGCGGCGGGTCGGCGCTGACGTCGACGCCGACGTCCGAGCGAGCCGAAGCTGCCCTTGCGCCTACAACAACTACTACTCGCGGCGGCCGCCGTGTCGTGCGCTCTCGGCTGTTGGGTGCTGGTGTGTCGTCGCTCACCGCACTCGCGTATCCTCATCTAGCATTTAAATCCAACGCCGCTGTCGGCGTTCATCGTCACTCACTCTCTCTGCGCTACCCAGCGACACTTTTTGTTGATTTTTACACACGCACTCACAAAACACGCACGCGTTTTATTTCAGACGCTCTTCGCAAGAAAAACAAATGCGAAATACGGCGCGCGTTGATGAAATGGCGACGGGCGCTTTTTTGCGCGCTGCGAGTGTGTGCGATTTTTCTGGCTTTCCGCACGCAAAACGCGGCGAGTCGGACGAGTCGGTATCGAACCTCACGAAACTCGAGCCTCGCTGCGCTGGCGCTCGCCGGACTAAAGCCGTCGAGCCGCTGATGCCCGAAGCGCTGCGCGACGCCGGCGACCGCTACGATGTCGGCCGAATGTTGCCGATGAGCCTGCGAACTGCGGTCGATGTGCATGTGCACCACACGCGCATGAGAATAGTGAGTGTGACCGTGTTATGCGTGTAAATGTTGAATGTCGCACTGGCTGTGCTCTCTGCTGCGCTGCTTGACTTGATACCGTTGATTTCGTCCGTGCGCGTTGTTCGCCAGTGCGTTACACAGGGCCACAAGCACTATCGCCACCATTCAACTTTCAAACTTATCAACTTATCAATTCAACGTCACGTTCGCGACGTTTAGAAAAGACAATATTTATTTGTTTTACTTGAAAAAATATTAAAATTTATGAAATAATGATGAAATTATAAAATATTCACATGATTTTTACGCTTTACAACAAAATTTTATGATTTTAGAATCGTTTTTGTTAATACTAACATAAAATATTGTTTTTAAAGAATATTTTAAAATTTCTAAGTTAAATTTGTGTCGAAAGTAGTAAAATTCTATGCCAATAAGTTTATTTACAAATGGTAGCTGTGTGAACTCCGATGTGTGTTCACTGAAACAAATGTACATTGCTCACTGCGAATTTAATACCAATAACTGCGTCGCAGCGCCATCTATGTACGATTCAGGGAGTTACATTTAAATATGGCGTATGTTGATTGTATTTAATATTTATATCATTTTTAACATTTTACCAGCTTTTAGTCATCTATCCCGTCAATTTCGACCACATCTAATCGTATTACATCGTCTTCATTCTCGTTGTCATCATTTGACAGTTTCTGTGTGGTTATATTCTTATTTTTCGCCGCATCATGCACAATATTATCAGATATTGTGTCAACCTTTGGTTTTTCTTCGATATTTTCACTTTCTTCATGTTTCTCATCATTAACTTTATCAGTTGTTTCAGAGGTTGAGGAAGTATTAACTTCTGGAAGTGGTATTTCACTTAAATTAACTAAATTCTTAGCAGTTGCATCAGTTGAAGTTGAAGATGAACAGGGCTCAACTAAAATGTTCCTAATCAGTTTAATTTTCTGCGTTTTCTTCTTTTCTAACGGTGATTCTTCGTTTTTATTAATATTTTCATCATTTTCTTGTAGTTTTTTGCTTGTATCTGAGTCTACATTTTGATTTTTCAATGTTTCTGTCACAGAATCTTCATTTTTACAGTTTTCTTCTGCTTCAGAATCACTACTACTGATAATAATCTCATTTATCGCCGGTGTTTCAATAAAAATAGCTTCATCATCTGTATCATCCAAGTTTTGAAATGCTGCTACTGCTTTCTCAGCTGCTTCCCTAGCTTTCTTATCTGCTTCCAAAACAAGTTGTGATCTGATTGCTCTTGCTCGTGCTTGTAACTCTAACAATTCCAACACACTAAGAAGTTTATCATTTTCTAACCCAGATGATTTCTCAGGTTTACTCTTGTTTTTCTCTGGTTTTTCTTTATCTTTCTCAACTTTAACTTCTGTTTTGATTTTTGTACCATTCTCATGGTCATCTTCATGTTTAATTTTGTGTTTCCGGCGGCGGCATTTCCTCATCATCTTTGGATCTTCTTTTGTTTCATCAACAAAACAAATCTCATCATCTGATATACTATCCAGTGAAATAATATCTATTTTGTCTTCATCTGATGAACTGCTTTCATCATCTGCATTTTGTCCTTCAAATATCTTCTTCAGTCTTTTATTGGAGATGCCAAGGAGTTCTTCTAGCAGCAGTGTGTTGATTTCTTCCATATCCATCTTCTAAACATCAAATATACATTATATTCTACATAATTTAAAAGATATTTAATATACCTTTATTGCAGGTGGTGCAAGAGCTTTGATTTTCTTCAATTTCAAGATTTTTAAGACTTCTTTCATGAGTCGAACACGATCATTACGATAGTGAAACAATTCATGCTCACTATCACTACCGGAATCACTCTGTGACTGCGTACGCTTTTTACTAGCCTTTGATTTACCTTTAACACTCATTTTCTGTTTATGTTTATCATGAATTTCGTTGTAAACAAATAAAACACCAAGAATGAAAGTAAAATGTATGGTTATGATCTAAAATACTTCATAATCTCTAAACTAGATGACTATATGAATAATTTCGTTTAGAAATGTGTTTGCTGACTAATTCAACAGAAAATGTTAAAATAAATAATAATTTAAAGTAATCATGGTCATAATTGTGGTAAAAATCATAATTTTGTTCCTTTTCCATGAAATAAATAAACCGAACGTCACTAGGTGGCGCTGTATGAATGATATTTAAATGACACTACAGAAAAACCACAAAACTAAGTTTTTTTTGTGATTTTAGTCAGAGTATGAATTTGAAACATGTTTAATCTGCTTGCAAAAAGGACAAAAACTACGATTTACAGTCTTAGTCTTATCAAATATTCATATTAACCTCAATACTTGAACTAATTTCGATTTTTCCCTCGCTTTGTTCTTGCTTCGTCATTAGTAATGAGTTATTCGCGCAGCTCACAACTCGGTGAGTATTTACAATATTACAAATTACAACCGTTGATCAATTCGTCATCATAACCGCACATTCCGCACATGAATATCATCAACTATTCCGAACTCCAGCTCCCCTCAAAAGAATAATTGTTGATTAAACATAAAAACCAATAAAATCATCAACTTCTGATCGTAATTACATGCGCGCTACGTATCACAATGTCAATTTGTTTTTTTCTGGTTTGATTTGTTTTTAAAAATGAGCAACATTGTTGTTTCTTGCACACGTGCGAGACGAATACAAAGTCAGAACACAAGTACAACATTAACAAATGCAATAGAGTTCAATATCTTAATTAGAGTTAGAAATAACAATATCTCGCATATCAAGAAACCAACCATTTTGTTTTTTTGTAGTTTTGTAGCGTGCGTGCGTCGCCATCTTGCATCTCAAATAGAAAAATAGATAAAAAACCAACCGAATCATGTTTCTTCATTTTGATCGCGCACGGACACACCTGAGTTATCAGTAATGAGCATAATCGATTCAATTAACAATAAACTAACCTAGAAAAACGTAAAGTAAACAGAATTGCACTCAAGCTACATCAGTCGATTAAGAATAGCACGAAATATACAAGTGTAAAATGATTAGAAACTAGTAAATGCGCCTACGAGTAGTATAATCGTCTAGTAAAATTAAGATAAAAACAGAAAATATACGAAAAAAATCAATTCTATGGACTAGTAATGTCGGCAGACAAGTTTTCGTAAATCGTAAAAGTGTCGGTGTCGCATTGATTGGTTTTGTTCTTTGTTTTTGATTTCTTGTTTCGTTTGTGCAGCACACACAAGTAAAAACAACAACAACCCGCAAGTGTCACTAAGTTTTTGTTTTAAAAAATGTCCTCATAACTGCTTCTCGGTGCCGTTGGCGTATTCCATATTTACAATCACTTGCACCACGTAACCGGGAGGTATTTTGGCTTCTTCCACGCGCAGTTTATCGCCGAGCAGCTTCCCACCGTAGAACCATCGCTGACGCGACGATTCAATTCCTTCCTGACTCTAAAAACATCCAAAATTACCTCTAAAACCTTATAAAAAGTAAAAAATCATTACCTGTAGTTTCTTTTTACAAATACTTATCGTATCTGTTGTATAAACAGACAGTTTAATATCAGTGCAGGTGTGTGACAAGCGCAATTTGAGCGTTGCTTCAATCCCACCATCAATCGGCTCGGAATAATCCGCTGGCGAGTCCCTACCGTTATCCTCCTTGACAATATTAATAGGATAACTTAAACAGTAGATTGGTACAAGATATCTAGCCCCAAGTTCATCGTAACATTCAGTTAGATAACCATTGGGTACGGATACACTGGCCCCGTCTAAAATAGCCTGCGCTAGTTCATAATCGGTGGCTTCGGCGGCGATTGCCGCCGCTCGCAATGCGTCCCAGATCTCCTTCCGGCCCTCAAACGCTGGTGCTGTATCCCAGAATTCATCGCGTTTGCTGCGCAGCTGGCCCTCGGTTAGTGGCACGTCGGATTTCCATCGGATTGTCTCATGGCACAGCGGATGGTTCTTTCTTGTACTGCCTGTGTGACGTTTTGTTTTGTTAGTTTAGGTTGTTTTGAACTGGTTTGTGATGCGTGTATACCTGAATTGGGTCTCGTTATCGACCCTGATGAATCGTCGATGGCGCCGCTGCGACTCCGCGTTATCCCGATGCAGCCGCCCATTGCTACGTGTGCATGCGTGCGTCCTGCTCACCGACGGACGCATCGTTACATGCCGGTGGATGCATACCGCCTCGGTGCCGCCGCCGACACGCTCATTTCGTTGCGAATTCGCAAAACAGCGCGGGCATGACAAAAACTGACACTGCACACTGCACTGCGCTCCGGACTGACGTTGACGTGCTGCAGATTGAACTTGTGTAGAGGGCGCTGATGTAGTTTATACACACTACCAACTTAAACAGTAATATCACTATATAAATGTCAATAAACTGCATGTTACAATAAAATAATTTAACTTTAAAAGCGTATAAACACTTATTAACATTAACAATCATAACAAAACTATGTTTACACTCTTAAATATTATTATGCAAAGTTATTTTCTTTAAAATAAATGTAAAAAACAAGATTTTTATGTTTTTGTGTTTAACAGTTAGTATAAAAACGGTACTGACCCACACATTTGTTTTTAAAACCGTTGTTCATGGTTTCCGCCGCGACAAATCGAAGTCAATTTGTATTAATGTGCAATAAAATCGTTAGCCCTACTTTCATAACATTAATTTATCATCAGTGCGCTCGTCCTCCTGAGGCTTTTATTAAATTACACCGCACCGAGGTCGCCGAATGCGATTACTCAGCGTTTCCAAGTAACCAACGCAAAACCCACGTATTCCACACGGAAAAAATTATGTCAACACATCAAAAGCGATTCGATACACATAAATATCTAATAATATTAATAATTAATCACACAATGTGTGCTCAGATCCACGCAACAGATCAATTTTAAACAGACGTCATAGCCGCCATCTTGAAATTATAAAATTATCATCATTTACCAGTTTAACGTCACTCTAACACGATGGTATGCATTACTAAGCACACCACGGAGATTCCAAATGTTTTTAAAAGATTCCGGTTGTGTGTTGTAGTTTGCATCGACTGCTTTCGCCCAAATTTCAACTTCTTTTGATTTCTTTGAGACTGGAATCTTAGCTGTCCATAAAGTCCATGCCCAATTAAAAGGTGCAGGAGTGTCATCTTGTTGGTCAAAAGTAGCCACGTGCCAGGATTCACCACCGTCGGCTGTTACATCAACACGGACAATTTTTTGACCACCGCCAGACCATGCGTAACCTTGTACGGTGATCATTCCATCAATGACTTGTACTTTTTCGTTTTGTGATGGCCGACAGATGGATGATATTACAGGGAGTTCTTGGATGGCAGGACTTTTTGTAAAATCTACGGTGTCCCAATCTGTGCTTGGGGAGAAGCCTTTGTAGTCGTTTTGTTGCCAATGTGAGTCGGATTCAACGTTGGAGAGGACTATCCTTCCTAAAATACAAAAAATATGAATATTAAAGAAAAGAGTGGTGTTAATATACTTTAGCGCCACCTGGTGTTGGATTATTTAACTAAAACTATGAGTAAAACATAATTTCAACTTTCAACGTTAATTTAACACCTTTTAAGTTATAATTTTGTATAAAAAAGTTTTGTCATCCGCAATACCTTTGATAATATCTATACAAAATTTTATGATGATCGGTAAAGTAGTTTCCGCGTTAAAACAAAACAAACAAACAAATAAGTCATTACCGAGCCATTTGACGTTTCGTGCACCAACAACACCAGGTACAATCACCCTGATTGGATACCCATGATCCCTCGGGATTTCTTCCCCGTTCATTTCGTAAGCCAGGATGATATCATAGCGTTTATCAAACGCTTTCCATGCAGGTACCGATGCTCCATATGGTTTTGAGGTTGGATCCAAGTCTAAACCTTCAAACTAATTGTTTTTCAGTTAAAAATCAAACAAATCTATTTATTTGTTATTAATTTACCTGAATATGTTGATATTCATCATTATCCTTGATCCCATTAGCCGCTAACACATCGCAGAGACGTGCACCACTCCACGTGGCATTACCAATGGCGGCATTCTTCCAATCCAAACCTTTTACTGACTTAACTTGAGTCATCTCACCGCGTCGATTACCAGCACACATTATTGTACTTGTCACTGAGTGTTTCGGATATTTTTTGATGTCCTTTAAAGACAAAACAAACGTTTTTGATTTTCCTTCACATTCTATTTCTAATTCGTATGTGTCGGGGTCTATTTCTGGTACTGGAAGATGATTTCGTACATAAAACAATTCACTACGAAAAAATCATAAATAAAATTTGTTTTGTTTATAAAATAATAAATTTTCACTTACTTTGGAGTTAGGAAACTGTCTACTAATAACGATGCTGGTGGTTCTGCATTGAATGGTTTAATAGATGTCGCTTTTAAGATGCGATGGCGTTTCGGGTCGTTTGCATATGGATCTGACATGTCTTTGGTAGCTTCAGCGGCTTCCTCCGCGGAGAGATTACCAATACGCAGTTTGCGCATTATTTCAAACACTTGTGGGTTTTTATGAACTGCATAGAGTAACCAGAATGGTTCTACCGACCCACCAGCAGCTAGCATTATGTTGTCACCACCAGGGTGCGCTGCTACGAATGGTGTGACGTCAAAGACTCCACATTTATAGGTTACCCAGATGCCATCTTTACTAAAATACAACAATAAATCATTTTAATTTTAAATTGGTGTTTAAATTGTTAATTTATTGCTTACAGTGTTGAATGTTTAGCTACTTCTTCCATGGTGTACATAGGCAACCCATCGATCAATTCTCCTACACCGCCATCATTTTCTGGAGCTTTGGCTTTGTCTTTGAGTGCTAATGGCGCAGATGTCGCGAGAGCAGCATGTCGATTTTGTTTTTCTTTATTTTCATTTATTATTATTTATTATTAAAATATTAAAATAAACAAACAATTATTAAACTTTTACTCACTGTAGTATTGGTAAGCAGCTGCTCCGGCTATTCCTCCGCCTATAAGTAGTAATGTAGCTGTGTTGCGTTTTTTCTTTGAGTTAGAATTACCATCTTCATTTTTATTCGTTGAAACATTGGTAACAGTACTCAAAGCACGGATGTTTTGCGATTTTATCGCATGTATCCATACCCTAATAACAATATAATTCAATTTAATGATTGATTTTGTACATTTTATAATAAAAATTACTTTTTGATTAGTTTTGAGGAAGACATCTTGTTTCCCAGAGGTGTTTTGATCAATTATTTCAACATTTGTTGCTTGGATTCATGTGTAAACAACATCATCTAGAACAGAACAAGATAAAAAAATTAGAACATTTTTATACAATGTTTAAACAACGAATCGCAATTAAACAACTGACAAATGTTGACGTCATGTCGATTCTTATCATATATTCATATATTAGGGGGTATCCTTTGCTATTTGTTTTAGGGCATTCAGGATGTATTGGGATCGCCCACATAGTGAGTTAATCTCCCTCCTCTACTGGACGTCGCACTACCACTCGCGTTGCAGCGCGGCTACCCCCACCACTTTCAGCGGGTAGTATAAAAGTATAAGTATAAAAGGGCAGTGCGCAGTGAAGACAGGGCTCAGTCGTACCTGAGTCGTCTACAAACGTCACTATTTTGTGTTTTTTTTTTCGTTTACAACCTGAGTCGTCCAGCAGTTCAGTTGCAGCTCTCTAGATACCCTTTTCTTCTCTCTACTTCTCTGTTCGTGACATCTGGTTGCATAAGTTACAGATTATTATATTACCAATGTTGGAGACATACGTTCGAACATAGGTAAAACCCACATGGTAATAATTTACACATCGTAGATATTTACATAAGTAAATATTGAAATAATACGTAAAAAATTCAAGGAATGCGTTTGAAATTACACAAAATAATATGCGCAAATATTTACCAAGCGTGTGCCACTGTCAACCAGCGTTGCTACCTGCTAACAATGTGATAAGTAATAAATACACCTTGAAGCGTTGGTTTTTTTTTGTTTAACTTGGATCTGTTTTGCATCACATATTTAACTGCCGTCAATTTATCTTTACAATTAAAAAATCATGACAACACAAAGAAAAACTCATCATAGATAAAAATCTAAGTTAATAATGAAAAATGTGAAGATCCTGATGTAGTGTTTTACAAATGTTTACATAATCATCATAATTATTAATTCTGGTAACCACAATGACGTCATAAATTATTAAATAATGATTATTACATTCCCTCATTGTTTCCTGACATTATTGTTGACAGAGTAAGGTCAAGACCACGAAGCACAGGTTCATTGCCACATGTATCTTTATCTTCATACAATTTATATAATAATAAACCAATAAACCAAGCTAATAAAACTCACATTTTTAGTTTCCATGTATGTCCAATGTCTATCTGCATCTCCACATCTAATTACCACTGATGATCTCGTTGATATTCCGCAGCACACGTCAATATTCCATACAAACAAAACAAAAATAGGTACTGGTGTAGTTGTGCCGGTTGTTGTCGTGTCGAGTAAGTGTCCAGTTTATCGTACTGTTACCGCAACACACAAACTGCTATCGAGGTCGACCGAACATAAACTTAAGCGCTGACTGTTGGCAAAGTGAACAACATATACATATAGTATTAGTATTACACAAACATTTACGCACTACTGCTGCCAGTCCAGTCCAGTCCACACTGAAGTATATTTATAATTCCGTTGCTTGGCAGCAGTGGGACGGACAACAGGCCTGCGAGATGGCGTTAGCAATAGCAGGCAAGCAGTAGTGGGCACATCGCAACTTAAATAAATCGATGCAAAGAACCGCGCCACACCGCGCCGCGCATGCAACATGAAACTCATTTACAAACGATAAGCAAAAATATCTACCAAATAATCATGTAATAAATGTTAAAATATGTACCCAATGTGTAAACCTGACCTATATCCCCATATTAACATGATAAAGATAAACAGTACCAAAATAACCAAAAATACCAATAGTAAAATACTAAATACACACATGGATAAGGATATTCTACATTGTTCTGCTTATCACAACGCCATTAATATGCCATTAGACAATAATTAATATATTTACAAAATACTTGAATAATGGAATAAAATTCTACGTGCGCCATTTGTTCCCCCACCACAAAATCATCAAATATTCTAAAATATCATTCATCTTTGCTAATAACTCCCAAAACTCAACAAATCCGATGATAAAATTACACAATTTGCATTTCACTAGCAACTAATATCGACTATAATCGTATGGCATGATTTTCAACAATTATTATCAATAATATCTTGACTTTGACTAGTCTTAGTCTTACGATTATTTTTCTCCATTTGATTTCGTTCGTTACATTATTTTTATATATAAACTATCAATATTAATATCTTAATACTTTTGTATCAATATAATCTAATATAATCATAGCTAATCCTAGGTGTCTGTTATCTTGCTATCTAACATTCGTAAATCAACACGAACGCGAAAGACAAAGATAAAGAAATTTTCTGCCAATAGGTTCCTTTCTTCTTTGTTCCTCCTGCGTTACAACACCTAAACAATTTATATATATTATTCAATGACCACTCCATTGTGTATAGAATTTCTCGGTTTAAACAAATCAGCGGAATGATTAACTGTTAACATCGTATCGATAAATGCCTGTTGATGACTTGCACGTGAAGGCAGTAAAGTTAAAATAAAAATTAAAAATTATCAACATTTTTTTTAGTGTTTTATGATTGATTGGGTTGTAAGGACGCGTAAATCGGTGCGGCTTTGGCTTTCGCCAACTCTGAAGCGTTCTTGGCGGCGTCTTTTAGTTTACTGGTGGCTGCTGTGTAGTGGGCAACTGTCAGAGGGTTCTGATGAGGGTATAAGTTGCCTAGGACGTGGTTAAATCCAAGTGCCTAAAGAAATAAATAAAAATTTATTTAAAAATTTAAATAAAACATAAAAATATTAAAATATTTACCATTTTATTACAGTTTTTCTTAAACCGTTCATATCCAAACGCACAAATTGCTTTGCTGAATCCTTTCACCTGAGAATCAATCCATGCCGACCTCACAGCGATGGTGTTACTTGGATTTACGCCGCATTCTGTGTAGACAACTTTTTCTGTGACACTCTGTAAGTAAAATGATGTTATTATGTTGTAAAATGTTTTTATGTCTTTATGGCTTACCATGACTTTTGCAAAGCCTAAATTTCGTGTGTAGGTTGTCAATGTTTTGGTTTTTGGATCCACATGTGATTCCTCCACGATAAAAACCTGTTTGGTGTTGATAAATCGCTCTGCCCACTTGGGTGTGGAATTTGTTTTGCTTAGAAGTCTTTTGGAGACAAGTAAACCATCTTTGACTTCTCTCATCACTGTATCTTCAGTTAATACATGTTTACTGAAATTTAAAACAATTTTATTTAATGTTTTGAAGAAAAAAATAAAGATTTTATTATTTTTACCTGTTTGGGTTGGGATATCGCACCCAGAATCCTCTCGCAACTTGATCCCAGCTAAAGTTGAAGGTCGTTATCTGCTCGAAGTATTTCGGCATGATTTCCGGTTAGTTTTCCTTAATTTTCCAGGTTTTTACTTCAAATTATTTTGTTTGCATCTGCAGTCGTTCTTTTTACGCCATTTTTTCTTTATTATCCAGTTGGGTAGAGTTAGAATTTCATGTGTATGGAATTTATCACGGCGACAATGTCACGATGACTTTTCCGCTTTTCTACGCACGGAAAATCGATACTGTTACAGCAACGCGAAGCGAGTGAGCGGTGTAGGAAGGTGGAAGTGTTCGGGTTTGGAGACAGGTGAAGGTGAAATCGTTCGGCACGGCCTGCACGTCCAGCGAGAAAGTGGAGAAGGAGATCACATGTGTACGTACAAAGGTGGACTGGTCTTGTGTGGTGACCGGCTGGACGTAGGACGTGCGGAACCTCGACACCGACACCCAGACGTACGGCACGCAAGCAAACTGGACGACGACTGACGAGTTATCTAACCTTATTCGCTGTCATTTTTGGTTTTAATGTTCGTGTAACTTCGGAAATTCACGAATGTCTACACAAAAATGTTTAACATTGATTAATGTTGATACTAAGTAAAAATAAAGTTATTAGGTTAAATAAATAAATTAAATATGATTTTTACAATAAATAATTCAAATATTAATCGTTTTTTGATTTAAAGCTCATTTAAAAATAGAAAATGTTCGTAATTTGTGTTAACTTCTCTTTATACCTGTCATTCTCCGATGATACCCGATGCTAAACGAAACACTGTCAATTTCAAAACTTGAATATTTTATCTTCAGACAAGTTTTATGATAATTATATATGATAAAAATGTTGAAATAGCTCCGTAAATTACCATAAAACGTAATAAACACGTTATTATCCTGATAAACTTTAATTTTAAATTGTTAAACAATCCAAGGTCACTTTAACAAGCCCCACAACATTATAAATCAACTCTTAACAAACTCAACAACCACAAAACTCTGTAAATCTAATTATGATCATCATATTGTGGTGCTTTATGCGTCGAAGACCGTTGATTGTATCGCCAGGGTTCTGTCAACGCCCAAGTGGCGCTTTTATTCTGCGACAACTGCCCTTGTCTCTGCTGTTGCTCATAAATCTGCTGCACATATTCCGCAGCGCCCATATCACGATTCCGCGCTGCTTTCCGCCTCTGTATCTCCAAAAACGTAAAAGATACAATACCCACCACTAATAACACTCCTATCAACCAGAGTATCACAATCTGCGATTCGGATTTTTCGAGTAAGGCAGCTGAACAAACGCCTGCTATCACAATAATGATTATTATCAATATAGTTATTGTCAGGATGATCAAACTTCCTCTTCGTTCTAAAAAACAAACAGAAAACGATTAAAAACGGTGGAAAAGTTAATATTTTACAATAAAACCTGAGAAAAACTTGCGATCAGCATCGGAATACTCCGGAATTAAATCACTTGTACTACGATGCATCGCAATTTTAGTTTTAGTTTATATTGCGAGTGTTTTGTGTATTACCATGGTAACATTCACGCGCATGCGCAGTATGCATCTACAAATGCACACCACACAACACACACTAAACACACCAAACGCAAAACAATGACAAAAACTTAATTTAAATTATGCACGTGTAATCGAAGGACTTTTGACTCACCTGAACGATGATGCACGGTTTGTACGTACGCGCGGCCGTTACTCGTCGCCGCGCACATGTTTGTACATTATTTCCGCTAATTAACACAAAATTACACATGTAATCATGTACGATATTCGAGTAATCCAATTATTTGGCAATTGTTTCACGCAAGAAACACAAACGAATGCGTAATATTGTTGTGCGGACGCAATCACGTGTAATCCAACATGTTTCTCGCGGTGAATTGCAGCGAATGAAGCGTCCTCGGACGGGTTATCAGTGTTTGCGGCGTTATCAATTCAATACGCCGAATGTAAACACTGTGAAATTCACATTTGACTGAATTCCGGTATTATTCACTTCTTTTTAACACTTTTCATATTTTATATAAATTTAATTATTATTAGAGAATATTTATGAGTTGTGAATGGCTGCGCGGTGTGTAGATGACTGAATTTTGTTCGTCATGCGAATCACAGGTGTTTTTCTACTTCTATCTTTCTCCTCTCTTACTCTTACTCTATGTTTATGTGTTTTGCATGTTGTCTCCCACGTCCCACGTTAAACTGAATCTAGTCAATCAACAAATAAATATTAACAGTGCTTTGTTTTTTGTTTTTTATGAATCACGCCGCCATTTTGATTGGTGAACTGCATGAACCTTGCAATTTGTGTGATGTCGGTGCAATAAAACTGAGATTTAAGTTATGTGTGTGCGCTTATTGCGGCCGCGAATACCGCGTGAGTGCACATATTAAATGCGGATGCTGTGCGCCGCTTGTATCTCGTCGTCATCGGAGCCAATTAACGAGTAAATAAGCGCGACGAGTGAAAGTCCAATTGGATTTGGCTTTGACGATTCCGGCCGCGCCGACGCGATGCGAGTTTGAAATATTTTGTGCGCTTTATTGCTTGTAAAAGTGTTTCTTAATCATAAAATTGTGATTTTTTTGTATTAATTAGAGTAAAATAAAATTATTTTTGATTGTTTTGTTGTTGTTTAGGTTGACATCTATCCGTAGGAAGAAAAATATTCAATTTATCTCTAATAGTTTAAAAGATATCGGTGTTTTTATCTCGCGAATGATGCAATTTGTTATATTTTCGTCCGCCATTGGTAAACTAAAAATCCTAGCAATTTTTCCTTTGGTATTATTAATCTTCTTAAAATTCCCTATTTAATGACATTTGAAACAATATTCTATCATTTTAAATGTCTATGTTACAACGCCGCAAAGTTTGAACATCAAATTATTCAAAAACATAAAATTGTCATACTTCCGTCCGCCATTGCTAACCTCAAAACCCTACAAATTTTTCCTTTTGCATCATTATTCTCCATAAAATTCTCTATCAAATGCCGCTTAAAACAATATTCCACCATTTTAAATGTCCAAGTTACAACACCGCAAAGTTTAAACATCAAATTATTCAAAAACATAAAATGGTCATATTTTTTTCGTCCGCCATTTCTAACCTAAAAATCCCACATATTTTTCCTTTGCCACTCCCATACTCCTTAAAATTCCCTATCCAATGACACCTCAAACAATATCCCACCATTTTAAATGTCCAAGTTACAACACCGCAAAATTTGAACATCTAATTATTCAAAAAACCTAAAATTGTCATATTTTTCGTCCGCCATAGCTAACCTAAAAACCCTAAAAATTTTTCCTTTGGCACCATTATTCTCCATTAAATTCTCTATCAAATGCCTCTTAAAACAATATTCCACCATTTTAAATGTCCAAGTTACAACGCCGCAAAGTTTGCATATCAAATTATCCAAAAACATAAAATTGTCATATTTTCGTCCGCCATTGCTAACCTAAAAACCATACAAATTTTTCCTTTGGCACCATTATTCTCCAAAAAATTCTCTATCAAATGCCTCTTAAAACAATATTCCATCATTTTAAACATCCAAGTTATAACCCCGCAAAGTTCAAAATTCATCAAAACTAACATTTACATAACAAAATACCATCAATTTTCTTTTGTATATATATAATTTGCAATATAAATACGCATATATTCATCATAACATATCCAAAACGTCAATTTCACGCGGCAATGATGGCAATACATCGGTTATCATAACCTAACTCATGCAAGTCTTATGTCTGTACGTACAGCGTTGGCTTAATTAATTAATTACAAAACGCATCAATTAAAAGTATAACAGTCTTGTGATATAGTAGTAGATCTCTCTTTCCGCTGCATTCTTACATTGAGATTCATTTGTTGCATAAAATTTGTCACTTCAGCTTGCTGCACATATAGAATTTCATTATTTTCGCAAACTTCAAGCCGTAATAGACACAGATAGCTTTATACTGAGTGTTGCACCTCAACACACATCATCTTCATTTTAAATTTCATATAGGTTAGAATCATCATTAGATATGCAGCCAGTTAAGCAACATGTTAAGGCCCTCAGCGCACACAAACTCCCTCCACTTTTCGTCTGATAAAAGTATAAAACATACAAAAATAGCTTGCGAATGCAAATCGTCGAAAATAAAAATAAAAATCCACGTTTGTTCATAAATATCATAAATTAAGCTTAAAACTAAATTGCGTAAAGTTTCAGATTAAATTCTATACAGTCGTCTCATCTTTTTCACTTTTACTGTATGACCTAACCTCTGAATCAGACAAGCATGGACTATCCCTCCCTTTCGATAATTCCTACTCCCACCACTCTTAGGGGCAGGCCCACGCTTTATCTGTTGATATAACTCTTCAATCTCCGTAGCTGATACACTACTAGCACGACTCGCACTGCTTTGCGCACGCGCAAACGTCGGATTGACATAAATCCGCGCTGATGATGAAAAATCATCCTTGGGAATCGAATAAAACCCTAATTGCATCTGCGGAGGTAATTCCTCAGTCAACGTACTCATATTCGGTGAGTTTTCCTTCGTACAGAAGGAAATTCACTTGTAGTAGTCTCTGTTGTGAATGATGGCCTTTCAGGTGACTTCTGATCCAAGATGGAGTCGGAAATGGCTTCGGATGAGTACTCTAACGTACATTGTTGTGACACTGAACGCATATTATCATGCGCACGCGATTCACTGACATCTTTCGGCTTGGACACCAACGAAACCTGTTTCTGTTTGTTATTTGACAGATTCGTAATGGCCGCCGCGGCGTTCTGCTTCTTTTTCACGCGTTTACCTTTATTCCTTCGCTGTTCCAGTAATTTCTCCACAGGAATCTCAACGGAATTCAAATCTTCACAGCTATCCGATAGAATATTGAGGTTATGATGTCGTTTCGGTACATGCTCAACGTGGATGTTCGTGTTGTTGACCTTGGAGTTGTTCGCAAACATCGCGACGTCCATGTTACACTCCGGGTTTTTAGTATAAGTTGAAATTACTGACGCGTCACTGTGTAATCCGAGCGGTGGTCGACGTTGTGTCAAATTATTCCTCTTCATCATGTGACGTTTTTGTTTCTTGAAGAATTTTCGCGCTACGGTGCTCTGATGTGGGTTATAAAACATCTCCGCAGAGTGTGTGGGATTCTCAATGAGGTTAGGTATAAGCGCGCCATTGTTGCGATACTGCTGGCGGTGTAAAACAACCAAATTCACATTGTTGATTTTAGTCGCCGAGTGGTCTGTCATGGCGGACGCGTTCAAATCAACCGCAGCCGCCATTTTCAACGCATTACTCCCACCGGATTTAGTGTGTGATGACCTTGAACTGCTGCGCGAGTGTATGCCATGTATAGGGTGTATTGATTGTAGTCCGCCATGTTGGATCGCCACTTCCGGTATAGGCGGTAGTGGTTGTATCTGTATCTGTGGGAGGTCGGAAATATTGCGTGTGCGGAAACATTTCCGGCCGCGCATCAATCTGCTTGTCAATATCCACTCATTCCGCACGTCATTCCTCGCGACGCAATAAAAAAAGAACGCGAATAATCCCAGTAAACTCGCCAAAATGGCGTAGACAATACTAAAAACATCCTCTTCATACGGTATCATCTTAAATGTGTTCATGGTGGCTAACGCGCATGCGCACCACGCCATAACATACAAAATCAAGAATATTACATGCGCTTTCAGTTGTGCCATCGGCGCATGCTCGGAATCTTCAACTTCAGAACTCGCTGTTTTTGTACTAACCGATCTCATACTCCTACAATCAGGGAAGTTCGGTTCCAGTAGATCTAAATCAACATTTTCGGTTGCTTGTGTGCCTTCACTAAGATGGCCGTTCGCGTCTGTTCCGTAAATAGCGCAGCGTATCAAAAGAAAATACACAAACAAAAGCATTAATAGTAACGCGAATGGCGCATAGAGGGCGCTCAGCGCTGGCCCTGTCGATAGAAAGCAATGCGTACGCGCCGAATACTCTTTCATATTAACCGCACCCGAAATCCCGCAGACAATCAACGCAATTCCCCAACCGACTAAATATAACCCCAAAATCGGCTTCTGGACAGGCTCATCAGATGGCAGTTCATCATCCTGCAGCTCAATCACATCATCTGAAGTCTTTTGAGTCTCTTATACATTGAATTGACAGCGACGCACATCCACAGCAACGATGACAGACTTAAATAATGCAGAATCAAACCAATGATTTGACATAACCTCACATCTTCGGTTTGATAAATACCAAACACATAAATAAAACAAAGTAAGGTTATGGACAACCAGAGGTTGATCACGCTGTGCTTCGCCTTTTTCGGCATTTGTATCGCCGAATAGGAGAACGCATAACTTACAATGCACAAAAACAAACAGATGAATAGTACCAGTGAACCGACGTAGATGGCAGGATGCGAGAAGCGAAACTTTGCGCCAGGTGGCACTATGTGCACATGCGATGTGTCTTGCAACAACGCATAGTATCCGAGGTGATCACACGTGAATACAAGGTTATCTTCAAGTTCATGTCGGATTTGACAGCCTTGTGACGTCCATGCACCTCGGCCAAGATTCAGACTGGGATTCCACCAAACCGGCGTCGGTGGTGTCAAATCATAGGAATAACTCTCCAGTGGTTTCAACATAATATAAATCGGATGTGTAAGATTCACCAGTAAATTATCTACGCATAAAAACACATAAAACATGTTAAAAACAAAAATTTATAATTTTTGAGGTTAACTTACCTAATTTGACACCGACAACAGCTGATATTATCCGCTCTCTATCCCCGCCAGCCAATGGAAAGAACCTTGCGTCATCATACATCCCAACACGTACATTACCAGCGCTCAACATGATATCAACCTCTTGTAGTTGATAAAAAATATTCGACGGGACTTCAATCGATGCTTCAATCACTTTATTCTGCGCAATCATCGCGTTGCTCTTGTTATGCGTCTGCGTGACACAATGAAAAATCTTATCGCTCCGCCCACCGACGCCATTGAGGTACCACGTGCATGTCAAACCAGTAAAAGTCTCTCGACGTACAGGAAACTGCCCCAAAATAATATGACTCTTCTGCAATTGCTGCGGAAGAGTGTAATTCGTGATTTTTTCAACTGCACGTATTAATTTCCCGCAGGAATTATCCTCGCGTTGCGCTTCACGAATAAAACTCTCATCTAATTCCATGAAACCATTGATTATGTCAAGGAGTAATGGACCTAGCTCGCCATCTACCTGCAGATGATCCAAGTAGTTATATATTGTGCGCGTGGCAAAAACAAGATCCATCACATCACGCATTAATTTTATGTCGGAAGTATTGCGTAAATGTTTTGCGCTTTCCAAAATGGAACCCTTCGCGAGTGTGAGATTGACCTTGGCGAATTGTTCGAGTATCTTCGTCGTTTCCGAAGTGTACGGACATTTTGACGTGTTGAGGTTAACCCACCCGGTGGGTGAACAACTGTAACTTGCTTTCTGTTCGTAGACATCTGAAGTTTGTTGCAGGCTTTCACAGTTCAGTGTGACTGTGTGATTGACGACTGTGCGCGGCCATGTGTACGTACCTTTATTGTTGCTTGTCAATATGATTGGACAATATACTGTCTCGTCGGAGATGACCATAACTGTGATACCTTTGGTGTAATTGCCGTTTCGGGTGATTAAATGACAGTTCCATACACCAGAGTGGTTGCGATTGAGTCTTCTGATTGTCAATAAGCTGTCAATGAGTCCGTCGTCGGCAAGGAAGCGATTGTCAATTGTGACGTCGTTGAAGTAATGGCGGGCGTTCTTCTCCAGCCATAGCCATTCGACGCGATCGTGAGATTCTTCGTTTTCTTCGTTTTTGTAGTATTCCTCGGGCATGGATGGTGCACGACAGTTGAGACGTAGTGAATCTCCTTCGAATACTACTTGGGAATGGTCGGGGGTTAGGTCGACGATGGGTATGTCGCGGTTTTTTGCTGGGGATTTGCAGTGGATGTCTTCGCCGACTTTGATTTTGCGCAGTGCGCGGCCGAAGTAAGCGGGTGGGGTTGCGCACTTCGGGTTGGATTTGAGCTTGACTGTCATTTTTTTCGTCCAGTCGAGGAGCCAGAGTAGACTGCAGTCGCATTTTAATGGATTGCCGGATATATCACTAAGAATATTAATATTTGTGTTAATTAATCACTTAAATTATTTATTTCTTGTTAGTTATTTTATTATATGTGACATAATTCGCCTAATCATGATGTCAAACTGTCAAGTTTTCAAATTTGACAGTGGAAAATGTAGAGTAGGCAACACATATCACATGAAATAAAATATTGGTAAAAATTGAAATAAAAACATAAATATTTACGATTTGGTTTAGTTTTTGAGGTTATTTCATGATAAAATATACTTACAGGTCTTTTAAGTTTTGAAATTGAGTGAAGGTTCCTTTCTCGATAGTCACAATTTGATTCTGGCTGAGTTTGAGTGACTCGAGTACTTGAAGATTGTTAAATGACAGCTGATCAATGATTTTAATACTGTTTCCGGATAAATCCAGTCGTCGCAGGTTGGGTAATTCACTAAATTGATTGTTTGTTAATTGGACTAGTTGGTTCTTGCTTAAATCACTGCAAAAACAAAAAAATAAACAAAATTACGAATAAAAAAACAAAATGGCTGACAAAAAACAAACACAGCATGTAAAACACTACTTACAGCTTTTGTAGAGCAACAAATTGTACTTTCGGAGCAAAAATAGTCAACGAATTATTTGATAAGTTTCTGCAACAAACATAAACAACATTTAAACATGTCTCATGTAATGAATAACAGTCTAAAGCGCATAAAACACTTACAATTGTACTATTTCATTGGCAATATTCAAGAATTCATTATCGTCGATGACTGTGAGTTTGTCCACATCACCACAGCGTACTTTAACCCAGTCACCTCCATCCCTCTGAGCAGTGCTTCTTTTACAAACACATTTACTAGGACATTGGTCACTGATGATTGCTGCAAAGTGCAGGGAGACCAGCAACGCGCACAGAAATCGCCACATTTTCACCGACGCGGCCGCGTTGCGTACATTTGTACACGCAGAAACAATTTATCTAGGGTTTTGGTGTCCACTTGAGCGTCGAGTGTGTTGAGGGTTGGTCTTCGGGCGTGTGAACGGACATTTCACACAATTTCAACGCGTAAATCACTAAAGAACACTAGGAATTATGCACGACGTTTAGATGAGACATTGTGTTAGAGATTTATAGATGTTTTATGTTATTTTGTGCGAGATTTCGTGCTAAATTTAACTGAGTTCGTGGTTTTATTATGATTGGAAGCCATTTATGATTTCATTTACATTAACCTCTCGCATTCCGATGTCAGCGGAGAGCGGCGCTGCCAACCTGCAAAAGAAAAATTCAAAAAGTTAAGTTTTGAATGAAATTCGGTTAAAAAACAATAAATTAACAATAAAATATATTAAATAAACAATTATTAGATGTAATGATATTATTAAAACTATAAAACTATAGTTTTTTGTTTATTTTTATAAAAATGTCATTAATTTGTGAGGTGTATAAAAAGTTGCCTATAGTACACCCTCAATATACTTACTTTTGAATTTTCAAAGGACGCCATCTTGTCATAGGGACGTTTTCATATAAAATGTTTATTCATAAAATATAACAAAACGTTTAAAACGCTTAAAAATACAAAACTTTAGTGTTGCTGTCATAGTAAGTATATAATAATAGTCTATTTACTAAACTCTGCAATCGTCTTGACGATAATATCAATCGATTGCTTCATTTGCTGTTCATTAATGATCAACGGCGGTGAAAAACGAATGGTATCTTCATGTGTGTGCTTCGCAATAAGCCCATTATCTTTCAACTTAAGGCACACATCCCATGCTTCAGCATAATCTAAATAAAAACAAATTTAGTAAAAATTTTCACTAAATAACACAAAAAATGGATAAAAATTACTTCTATTAATAACAACAGCATTCATAAGGCCTTTCCCACGCACTTCAATGGCTATTTTCTTATCAATCGCATTATTTAACTCACGGCGGAACATCGCGCCGAGTTTCTGCGCATTCTCCGCGAGTTTTTCTTCTTCAAGGACATCCAGCGCCGCCATTGCAACTTTAGACCCCAGAGGATTACCACCGAAGGTTGATCCATGAGTTCCTTTAATTAAAAAATCAAAAATTTGCTTTTTTTGGGAATATTTCATCATTACCTGGCTCCATAACCAACATAACCTCGTCATTGGCTAAACAAGCAGATACCGGATACACCCCGCCTCCTAACGCCTTGCCAAGAACCAAAATATCCGGTTTGACAGCTTCATAATCACATGCTATCCTCATTCCTGTCCTTCCAAGCCCAGTTTGTATCTCATCCGCGATCCACAACACATTATGCTTGTTACATAACTTCCGCACGCCCTTCAAATAACCTTCATCCGGAATAATAATCCCTGCCTCTCCCTGAATAGGCTCAACCATAAACGCGCATACTGTAGCATCCTGTAACGCTTTATCCAACGCCTGGAGATTATTATAAGGCACACAGGAGAATCCAGGCATAAACGGTCCGTAATTTTCAAAACTCAACGGATCTGTGCTTGCGGAAATGGCCGCCAGGGAGCGCCCCCAAAAGTTTTCACTGCAGAAGATTATCTGCGCGGAGTTTTCAGCGATGCCTTTCTTGGTATAACCCCATTTACGTGCGAGTTTACACGCGGTGTCATCCGCCTCCACTCCGGTGTTCATTGGTAACATTCGGTCATAACCGAAAAGTTTGGTTAGTTTCTCGGCGTATTCTCCAAGGACGTCAGAGTAAAATGCACGGGAGGTGTGATGGAGTGTTCCGGCTTGGGTTTTGAGTGTGTCCACGATGCGAGGATGACAATGGCCGAAATTATTCGCTGAATAACCCGATAAATAATCAAGGTATTTGCGACCTTCGACGTCCCACACGTAGACACCTAATATAGGCAACCAAAATTACACATTTTGCATTTTGTGTATTACATGTAAACATGTAACATAGGCAACCAAAACTTCACGTTTGACATTTTGGGTATTACACGTAAACATGTAACATAGGCAACCAAAATTACACATTTTACAGTTGTGTTTTACACGTAGATATTTAACATTTAACATAGGCAACCAAAAATACACTTTTGACGTTTTATGTGTATTTTTGTGTAATACTAACCTTCACCGCGGGATAACGCCACAGGAAGTGGATGATAATTATGCGCGACATATTTCTCTTCTTTTGCATAAACTTGTTTGGAGCTTGCGCATCGTGTGCCTTGCTGCGCAAGCCGTGAAAATCCACGGAATTTTGACAACATTGCTAAAACTAACAAAAATCAAACTTGTGTGGCGTTATCGTATGATTAATGCCAGTTTTTATCGCTTACCGGTCGTGTTTGTTGTTTGCTCAGTGTTGCTTCAAGTTTTTTTGCGCACTGTACACACACGCGCTGTTTATCTAGTATTTATGATTCGCTGTGAAAGCTATTGACTAATGAGTACAAGAAATGCGTGTTTTTGAATATTTTGAAGGTGATTAGCAGACGTTAATGATGATAGTTTGGAAAATCGGCGCGCGAAGCTTGCGACGAGCTGCGCTTTCGGAGCGCGACTGGGTCGCCGATGTCGCTACACCGGCACAACACGTAACAACAATATTTATCACTTACAGGATGATAAAGAATAACTAACTAAGAAAAAGTTAAAATTCACATGTCAACTGTCAAAATATCAACTAGTGTAGTATATATGCAACCCATTATACATGTAAAGTGTGTTTGGTTGCATACATTATTTTTAAAATGAAATTTTATACTTTTTAGTGTTTTTAAACACTTTGTATGTATTATGCGTGTGTGGGAATGATGCAGTCGATGGGTTACACAGTGCAGGTGAGAACCGGTGTGCATTGGCGATGCATGGACGCAACAAGTTGCTGTGTTTACATTCCCCAGCGCCGATGCGGTCGTTGAGTCCACACCGTGGCGATTCAAGCAACAAATATGCAGTAATAAAGCAATAGCGTGCGATATTTCCCTTCCACAAGTTGATTTACAATGATTTACATACAAATCATCAAATTATTCCACCCGAAACACACAAAAAACAAAAATAAAGTTTTAACATATTTGGTAACCATTGCAACAAAATATAACACTTTGAACCTGTTTCCTCTGCGTTGTGACTTCTGTTTCTATTTCTATCTTACTACATTTGTGCATTTGTGGTATTTTGTTGAGGTATACAGCGTTGTGTTACAGTGAATGTTGTTTCAAGGTCAACACGACTATAAAATACATTCATACTGTAGTGCTACGAATGTGTAAAACGCAAATTAATTGAATGACGTCATGTTTCTCTCATTAACTGATGTTTTCGTTTGTTTTTGAGTTAATTTATGAACGCATTGTATAATATTTAATGTTTATAAAAGTTATTTTTAGTTTTGCGTGTTGATTGTTTTAATTTTGTTGTGTTTGTTATTTATTTTTTTTGGTTTTGCAATACAAATATCCGAGGATTTGTTAATTAGGAGTTGGATTTGTGCGATGGCACAATCAGAAATTCATTGCGCGTCAGCATTCGTATTTTTACATGACAAGTGTGTTAATAACGTTAATAATAATAATTTTATTGTCAACAGATAGCGGCTGAGTGCTAGACATGAGTGCTTGTGTATTTTTAACTTATTATCAATTAAACTTGAAATAAAAATTGCGTAAATTGAATTTTTATCGCGTTTTTGGTAATTCAAGGTCAATAATTGCATAAATTGCGGTTTTCAACAATTTTAACAATTTGTTGTATGATTTTAATAAGAAAATGTATTAAAAAAAGTTCAAGTGTTAGGTTAGACTAGGCAACCTAATGTACACAATGTATAGAGAGTTCCAAATGTGTATTGAATGTTTTTTGTGTTTTTTAAGTAAATCTCTGTTAGTAAACGTGTTTTTTTACTTAATATTAATGAAACTTGAAGTAAAAATATCTTAGAATAGAATTTAATCATATTTTTTGTTAATTCACGGTTAATAATTGCATAAAATGCGTTTTTAACCATTGTAACACTTGTCTTATTAAGTTTTAGTGTTAAAATGTATTAAACAGAGCACAATTGTTAGGTTAGACTAGGCAACCCAATGTACACAATATACAAGGTGACCTAAACGTAAAATGTATGTTTTTCGTGTTTTTTTTAGAAGATCACGATGAGTAAACGTCATTATTAACTTAAAATCAATTAAACTTTAACTAAAACACCTAAAAATAGAATTTAATCTTATTTTTAAACAATTCCAGGTAAATAATTCCACAAATAACGTTTTTTTTCCTTTGGAAAATTTAATATTGCATATTTATTATTTACTAGTGGTACTCTAACCTAAATACTACTAATTTTTCCAATGTGCTTATCACTTTTCGTATGTTTACATAAATTTCAAGCATTTCCACTCAAAAAACCACTCAAATTATGTATGTACATATTAAATATTATTGCCTCATGTTTATGTAACAGTGAAATATCGTAAAAACAAAAAAAGTGTTGCTTCAGTGTAACAACTCCAGATAATTACAGTTATTGTTGATAATGTGACGTCAATTAATTATTAAACGATTAACTAGGTTTATAAACTTATTCACTTGTCTGTTGTGTATAATTATAGCATAAATGACTCACAACTCAATGTTTAAACATTAAATTTACATAATGATGAATTTTTAATTGTTATAATTGCAATACACACTGTATTATTATGTATTTTGCAGAATAAAAATGTTTTGATGTGTGATTTGCACTGTGATCAACGATATACACACGTGAGATGTGTTAAGTCATGTGTACTTAAGTTAAGTCAACTTATAATTGTGATTGCAGCCGTGTGACCGATTGCGAATCAGAGTTATAGAGATTATATGAGTTTTACATCAATTGCGAGCGGATTTATCTGTGTATTATGTAAACATACTACATACATGCATTTGTGTTGCCATGGCAACGGTAAACAATCTGTGAGTGACTTAAGTTTACTTATTCGCGAACGAGTTGATCGTCTCGACGATTATCTCGATACATTCGCGTAATTGCTCCTCGGTGATTACTAGCGGTGGCGCTAGACGGATTATTTCATTGTGGGTAGATTTACAGAGTATGCCATTATCACGTAGTTTGACACAGACGTCAGTTGAGCCGAAAGAAAGACCTTGAAAATTGTAAAATGTAAAATGTACAATTTAGCGCTTGGAAATTTATATTGGAGTGTGAAACACTATATGCAACCAATGTAACATGATTCTAATTATGTTCAGTTTATGTTTAAATGAATTTGTTAGGTATTTTGTCGTTCAAAAGCGGAAAACACAAAATTTGGCAATAAAAATGCTTAAAATAGTGTGAATACTATATGCAACCAGTAAAACACAAATGAAACTGTGCTTTGTTAATGTTAAAATGTAGTTTTTTAAATACCTTGGCTTTAAAATGCAAAAAATGTAAACTTTAGCATTGAAAATACAAAATGTAGTGTGAATACTATATGCAACCAACAAAACACAACTAAAACTATACTGTGTTCATGTTAAAATATACTTTTTTAAATTCCTTGACCTTAAAAAGCAAAAAACACAAAATTTATCCATGAAAACGCCTAAATTACTATGAACACTATATGCAACCAACATAACACATATAAAACTAAACTTCTAAATTACATACCATCTTGTATCCCAATCGCAACCAAGAGTCCTTTCCCCCTCACACATTTCACAACACTCTGATCCAACCTTTGCTTCAACTCCGGTTGTAAAATATCCCCCAAACGCTTCGCATTCTCCGTCAAATCCTCATCCAAAATAACCCTCAATGCCTCACACGCAACCCTACAACCCAGCGGGTTACCACCAAAGGTAGAACCATGATCACCGGGTAACATACACAACATGACTTCATCATCCGCCAAAACAGCAGACAACTACAACATACTCAAATATAAATTTTGTATTTTGGGTTGCCTATATTAAACTCACCGGTAACATACCACCAGATAGCGCTTTACCCAAACAAATCATATCAGGCCGCACCTTTTCATGGTGCACACACAACAACTTCCCAGTCCTCCCCAATCCAGTCTGTACCTCATCATTAATCCACAACACATTATACTTTGTGCATAATTCACGCACACCTTTGAGGTACCCGGGTGAAGGTACCACTATACCTGCCTCACCCTGTATGGGTTCCAACATAACCGCACAAATATTTGGATCTGATTCAAGCATTTTCTAAATTTAAACAAAAATAAATTAAAATTAAAAAAAAAAAAATTTTTTTTTCTTAAAAAAATTACTTCTAGAGCTTTGAGGTTATCATATGGTACCAATAGGAACCCAGGCATCCATGGACCATACTTATCCCTAGCAGTAGGATCAGTACTCGCTGATATCGCAGCCAAAGTGCGTCCCCAGTAATTATTCTCAGCGAAAACAATCTTTGCTTCATTATCAGGTATTCCCTTCTTGGTATACCCCCACTTTCTCGCTATTTTACAAGCAGTTTCACATGCTTCCACCCCGCTATTCATGGGTAGTACCTTGTCATAACCAAACATTTGGTGCATGAGACGCGCGTAGTCAGCGAATGCATCCGTGAAGAATGCCCTTGACGTCAGGGTCAACTGTTCGGCTTGCGTTTGTAATGCACGCACGATGCGCGGATGGCAATGGCCTTGATTAAGAGCGGAATAACCGGCGAGGAGGTCATAGAATTGATTTCCATCGGCATCCCACACATAAACACCTTGTATATTGAATATAATAAAAAATTAAATATGTGTATATTTGGTTGCCTATGTTAAAATTGATTATACTGGTTTATAATGAATAATTTTTACCTTTTCCGCGTACTAATGCAACCGGAAGTGAGTTGTAGTTATGTGCACCGTAGGTGAGCACACCGTTGAAGACTTTTTCACTGTTGACGCCTGGAAGTCGCGATTTACCGTCGGCGATATGCAAAGGCATTCTTTAAATCAAAATATTTTTAAATTTGAATTTTTTCGGAGTTAATCTATTGATTGCTATGTTTTGAACACTGTGGTTGTTGGAAAGTGTGTGAGCATTTTTATACCAACGCCATTTTGTGCTAATCACACGTATAAATAAAATGGCGGAGGCGCCATGGTACGATTCCGTTGATAATAATCGATAATACCCGAAATTAATATCAATTACGAAGTTTTAAGACCCTCTTAGCGATTCACGTAGGTGTTAGATGTGCGTTAGATGTTCGTATCTCGAGCGTAATATGTTTGGTTAGGTTATTATCACCCTAGTGGATAATGATGCGTTAATTGAAATTTTAGCAATTTTAAGCAGTGTATTATTGGATTTTATAAGCGAAATGTCCTAATAATTGGAGCGCAAGTGTTAAGAGAGACAAGGCAACCCAATGTACACATTATACAGGGTGTTTTAAAAGCGTAAATGATGCTTTTTAAATATTTTTTAAATAAAAACGTTATTATTAAGTTCTTATCAATTAAACTTGAAATAATGTGATAGGTTAGATAAGGCAACCCAATGTACACAATATACAGAGTGTTGTGAATGTGTATATGTTTTTTGTTTTTTTAAATAAATCACTGTCATTAAACGTCAGTTAATGTCAAGTAATGAGTTGAAAAGAAAACAGACGCGGAAAAAATCGAAATTGTTGTGTTTATTTGCGATAAAGTGTTCAAACACAGTAATAAGCAATAAGTTCAGATCGAAACAGAGACGGATTAAAATAATTTTGAACATTTGTTAAAAAACACTTTATGTAAAGCGAAATAAAAACTATTATCGTTGAAATTCATGGAAAATTATAAATTAACTATATTTTAATTTATTATAGTGTTAAAACGAGTATTTGTAAGGTTATAACCTATTTTCATGACTCAGAAATTTATTTAAAATATCACAATAAATAAATTATCACTAAACCATAGAAATTCTTTAAAAAAAAACTAAATTAAAGCATTTTTGTAATAATTTTAAATAATAATTCAAATAAAATGATTTAAATCCGGTTCTGAGTTGTTAAAAACCTAACCTCAGTATAAAAACACAAGAAAAACGTTAAACTTCAATCAAACACGCTGTCTACTGTATGCATTGCAATCAAAATATGCTTTGATTCATCGTCAGCGATAATTCACAACGAAACAAACAAAACCGCCACCGAAAACCCGATAAAATGGCCGACCTGACACACATCCAGCATTCAAGCGAACAAACACTCGATCAAACTCGCAAAACAAGAGAAAATCAATATGAAACGACACAAAACGACATAAAAACCCATCAAGTTGAAACTATTTAACAAAATGGCAAATCCAAAAAAAGCCGAATCCAAACCGGATTTAAACATATATCAACTCTTAAACCCATTATTCTTATGGACATTATTTCAGGGCCTGACGCCATTTTCTCCTAAACGCAGTGGGTTTAAAAGATCACGTCTACATCTCTGTATGTGTCTTATATCGATATTAGTCTACACAGCAATTAGCGTGAAGACAATCTACGATAAAAGATTTGATACTATCGATGGGTTTATTTATAATATCACAGAGAGGTTAGAATTGTATACGACGAATGTCAACATGGCGATTGCAGTGTTATTCGCATGTTTACAACGCAATAAGGTACAAAAAATAGAATATTAAGTATCAAGGGTGCTAAGTGACACTTTAGTCACAAGATTAATCAATCGTGTGTTTAAGAATGTTTAGCCACGTGATGCATACGCTATTTTTTCTACTTCTACTGAATTTCCACGCATGCGTAAACATCGCCTGTGACTAAAACCCGTGACTAAAGTTTAAAATAAGATTTTTTGTGTTTTTTTGCATGAAAACCGTGGAAACACAGTCAGAAATAGAAAAAAAAACATGGCAGACACAAATCTAACTTAAATTTTACATTTTTAAGATTTTAGAGGTGATAGAAAAGATGCACAAGATGGATTTGCGCATAAAACACCTATTCCCACACGCAGAATTCAAAAATTCTACCACAGCGCTAAAATTATACGCCATTTTGTTTCTGGTGAGTTTATATATAATCGCATCATTCGCCATGGACATGATTGTATTCTGGGATACGGATTTTCTAACCTCTGCAAAGTTAGCGTATACTTTCATGTGTCCAAAATTGATTTGCACGCATGTCGTGATACAATTCTGTGTTTTAACCAATATTTTACATAAAAGATTCATGATACTAAATTCTAATCTAGAAGCACTCACTGCTACAAGTCATGAACACATTGATTTTATTTTAAAGGATATGTAAGTATTGCGTGTTGTCTATGTGTATATTTGGTTGCCTATGTTATGATGCGTTATGTTGCAGATCAGGTTTGAATATTATTTCATCGCATAGAATATTGGAGATTGTTGAATCAATTAGACTTCAACATTATGCGTTGTGTGACATTGCGGCGTTGTTAAATAGCGCGTATGGTACGCAGATATTGTTCACGGCTTTACAGGTGTTTGTGACGTTATTGTCGAGTATTTTTTATTGCATACGCATGGTGGGACTTCGACCGGAAACGCTGGAGCTTAATCCGACTGTGTTGGTGGTGTATACGATAAATGTGGTGTTTTTATCTTTCGCGCAGCTTTGGGGTTGTGTTGTGTATGCTTCCAATGCGAATTTTGAGGTTATTTTTCGACAAGATTTTAAAAAATGTAAAAAAATTAAATTTGAGGAGTTTTTTTCAGGCTAGGAAGACCGGAAGTATTGTGCATAAGTTCCGAACGGATAAATTAACAACTCAACTTGAATTTGAGGTAAATTTTGTTGTAGAATGTGAGTTTAATGTATGATTTGTGAATTTGGTTGCATATATTTTGACAGTTGGTGTACTTTTCGCTGCAACTCAAACAACACAACGTGAATTTCAACGCGTGTCGCATTTTTAAGCTGGATGAGAGTTTATTACTTTCTGTAAGTGATGATATATACTTAATAATTTGTTTAATATAGTGTTAATTTGTTTAATTTTTAAGGTTGTAGGAGTTATCTGCACATATTTAGTGATTGTTATACAGTTTGAATTTACAGCGTTAAATGCGCTAATTAAAGATGATTAATTGTTGAAAATAAATAAAATATATTGTTTATAACCTATTTTGTATATAACCTTTTACTTATTTGGTGTATTTTGGGTTGCATATAGTAAAAATTGAGTTATAAGCAACAATAACACAATAATGAACAGTTTTTCGCATTTTTTTCAGTTTGTTCCTGAAATATGCTTGAAACTTGCTTAAAATATCATTAGGAACAAATAATTCTTCATAAATTAACAATATTTATGTTTGTTGTGTACGTATTTTTGTTGTAATCATGTAAAAACCTCCGTTTTTCAACTAAAAAACGCTGTAAATAAAAAAAGTAAAGGTAACTTTAAGATGAAATATCTCGCGTGTCAATAATTATAGAAAATTGATTAAAACGTCATTATAACCAGAATTTAATCAAGATTATGATTACCAGAAATGAAATTGATACAATTTATAGTTCTTTTGTTATAATTAAAAAAGTAAGACAATGATTTTTTCTGTTCGATCAGATATTTAAGCCGTTTTCCTCATTTTTTATAATTATCTCTAAAATTATTCTAGAAATTTACTCAAAACATCACAATAAACAAATAATATTTAATAAAAACCACAAATTTATGTTTGTTTTGTATGTAGGTGTTATTTTGGCTTGAAACTTCTGTCTTAAAACCTTCGCACGCCCAAATAAGGAGTAAACAATGAGCCATCGAGCCGAACTCTCGAAAAAACGTTTATGGTCTTCGTCCTTATACATTTTATACTTGATACACTTTATATGCGTATAATTTACGCTCCGTGTGCCTCAAAACGTCAACTTCGATTTTATTTTAACTTTAAAACTTAAACTTCACATTTAAACGCGTTTTACCTCTTTCAACTCTTTACTTATATGAACATGGACAAGTTTTGCGCCAGTGTGTGAGTGTTTCGAGTATTTTCGCGACCTACTTAAGTCAAATCGAGAAGATTTTGCGCTCGACACGCTGCCCGACAGTCATTCAATCCGCACTCACGGTAAGCTGCGCGTGCGCGAGGGACTTACGTGTGCAGCGAGCCGAGACCGACGATTATTCGAGAAAATTCGCGCACTGTGTGAAAAACTGTCCGGCCGGCCGGCGTTGAGGCTAGAAAGTGTTCGAAATTCATTCGAGGAAGAAGTGATCGAGTAAAAGTTAAATTATTTTGATAAATTTAAGTAAATTTTGATAAATTTTTGAGTAAAAACTGTGTGGAAATGGCTAAGTCAGCGATTGGTATCGATTTGGGCACGACCTATAGTTGTGTAGGTGTGTGGCAGCATGGCAAAGTGGAGATCATTGCTAATGATCAAGGAAATCGCACCACACCTAGCTATGTTGCATTTAATGATACCGAAAGGTTGATTGGAGATGCTGCGAAGAGTCAAGTAAGTAAAGTGTGAGTTTAAAAGGGAATAACTCGCGTAATAAAAATCGTAGAAAGTTGGTTGAAATATCATTAAAAGCAGAATTTAATCAAGATAAAGATGGCTAAAAATGAAATTGATACGATTTTTAGTTTTCTTGTTGTGACACAAAAAGTAAAGATGTAATTTTTGGTTAAAAGTGAGAGAAAAAATGATATAACTCAAAAACTAATGATGCTAAAAGCTTGATTTTTGCTTCTACAAAAAGATCTCAATCTAAACTCTTAGAAAACATAAACAAACAGTTAAATAATAAAATATCTTAGTCACAATCACGAAAAAACCTAAATTTTTGAACTAAAAATAAGATTTTCTTTACTTTTGAGGTCAAAAACCTTCAAAAATATCCTTTAACCTAAAAAAACACTCGTAAAATATAAAAAACGACATAAAAATAATATAAAAACTTAAAACCTTCCAAGATATACTCTAAAACTGTTTCAGTAACCGGCTTACTTGATCGTCCCACACATAATAATAATTTTAGGCGTGTGGCGGCTATTTTTACCATCATGACTCGCTTTTTACTTTTCCCCGAGTAAATTTCCTTCAACTTAAACGCGTTTACGACGTGCCTATACCCAAAAATAACACATTTACCACCACACATCAATTTGTATATAATCTATCACAAAACGCATAAATATGCAACCAATTTAACATCACACACTAATTTAATGTACTTTTGGTTGCATAGGTTGCAATGAATCCAAAAAACACGGTATTTGACGCAAAACGCCTCATCGGTCGTAAGTTCGACGACCCAAAGATCCAAGAAGACATGAAACACTGGCCCTTCACCGTGATTAACGACTGCGGCAAGCCGAAAATCCAAGTGGAATACAAAGCCGAATCAAAACGCTTCGCCCCGGAAGAAATCTCCTCAATGGTTTTGATAAAAATGAAAGAAATCGCCGAGACTTATCTCGGTGGAAAAGTAAAAGACGCCGTTATCACTGTCCCGGCGTATTTCAACGACTCACAACGTCAAGCGACCAAAGACGCTGGCGCCATCTCTGGTCTCAATGTCTTACGTATCATAAACGAACCAACTGCGGCTGCGTTAGCCTACGGTTTGGATAAAAACCTCAAAGGAGAGAAAAACATTCTCATTTTTGACCTTGGCGGTGGAACTTTTGACGTTTCCATCCTAACCATCGATGAAGGGTCCTTATTTGAGGTTAAGTCAACCGCGGGTGACACTCATCTAGGCGGTGAAGACTTTGACAACCGTTTAGTCAATCATTTCGTTGAAGAATTCAAACGTAAATGTAAAAAAGACTTGAGTGGTAATTCACGTGCCTTGAGAAGATTGAGAACTGCCTGTGAGCGTGCAAAAAGGACTCTAAGTAGCTCAACAGAAGCTTCGTTGGAAATTGACGCATTACACGAAGGTGTAGATTTCTACTCGAAGATAACCCGCGCGAGATTCGAAGAGTTATGCATGGATCTCTTCCGTAATACGTTGCAGCCCGTAGAGAGGGCGCTCAACGACGCGAAACTTGACAAAGCAGCTATACATGACGTTGTACTCGTTGGTGGATCAATCAGAATACCAAAAATTCAAAAAATGTTACAGGATTTCTTCTGTGGTAAAACTTTGAATCTGTCGATTAATCCTGATGAAGCGGTTGCCTACGGTGCGGCGGTGCAAGCGGCCATCTTGATCGGTGATACGTCATCACAGATTCAAGATGTGTTATTGGTTGACGTAGCGCCATTGTCTCTGGGTATTGAAACCGCCGGCGGTGTTATGACGAAAATCGTCGAGAGAAATTCGCGGATTCCGTGTAAACAACAACAAACATTCACGACTTACTCAGATAATCAGCCGGCGGTGACGATTCAGGTCTTCGAAGGCGAGCGGGCGATGACGAAGGATAATAATCTGCTTGGCACGTTCAGTTTGAATGGTATACCACCCGCACCACGTGGTGTGCCCAAGATTGAGGTTACGTTCGATTTGGACGCGAATGGCATTTTGAATGTTTCGGCGAAGGATACTAGTACGGGCAGGTCGGAAAAGATTACCATTACGAATGATAAAGGGAGGTTGTCGAAGGCGGATATTGATAAGATGTTGGCGGATGCGGAAAAGTATAAGGCGGAGGATGAGAGGCAGAAACAGCGTGTGAATGCACGGAATCAATTGGAGAGTTATGCGTTTAGTGTTAAACAAGTAAGTTTTATGTGGGAATAAATAAACAAATGCACGTCTGATCACGCCACGCGGTTTAACACGACTGACGCTTTAGATTAGGATGCGCAACTTGCAAAACAGGTTTTTATCACTGTAGGCAATCAGTATTACACGTTAAAAAAAGAAAGAAATGAAATTAACAAAGATTTAAGTTTTGTGTTGAAGAACTGAATGTAAATAAACAATAACACGTCCGAACACGACAAGCACTTTAACACGACTGATATTGATATTGAATTGCATTGAATAGCAAGGTTAAGATTAAAATGTTTGAGATTAAGAACTGAAAGGTGTGCAAAACAAGTTTAAACACTATAGGCAACCAGTATCACACATTGACTTCACATTAAAAACACATCTATAACAAAATAACAAATATTTACCTGATATTCATTAAATTAAACATTAATTTCCTCATTTTTTACTTAAATAATTTTTATTTTTGAATTCCAGGCTGTTGAAGACGCTGCTGCCGATAAATTGACAGCTGACGACAAGAAAGCAGCCCAAGATCGTTGTTCAGAAGCTCTCCAATGGTTAGACAACAACCAAACAGCTGAAAAAGACGAATATGAAGATAAACTAAAGGAATTACAAAAAGTTTGCTCGCCTATCATGGTGAAACTGCACCAGGGTGCTGCGCCGCAAGGTGGCGCAGGTGGCGCTGGTCCAAACGTCGAAGAAGTTGACTAACTCACAACAAAAAACTAAAAATAATTTAATTAATACATAATTATACATAAACCACGCTATTTATTAATATTTATTCATAGTTATTAATAGTTATTAATTTATTAATACAAATATGTTCCGTTTTTATTGCCTACACTAATAAAAATAAAATTTTTGGTTTTATGCTGTAAAAATATGTTTAACCGGCACGCGATTAAAATAGCTCTCAAGCACTGACGTCACAATGGTATTCATGGTCTCTGCTATCGACGGGCCAATCTCACCGTTGACATCGTACCAGTTTTCATTTAGAAATGTATTCATTGCACCGCCTAAAAAATAAATATTATAATTGAGGTTGTAATATGTGTGTGTGTGTTTAGTTGCCTATAGTATACGAACGAGTATTTACCTAGTCTCTCATCGCCATTGAATAGGTTTTCCAAGTGGAAATTCATTTTACTCGTTGTGTAAGTCAACAGAGGATCAATCATGTTGATATAACTGTTGTTTGCTTTGGTGGCGAGCTCATAGTTGAATTTGTAAGTGAATACAGGATTTTCTAAGGTTAAGTTACCGGGTCCTTGGCCTACAATGGGTAAAACAAGGATTCTTCCTTTGATATCATAGGTTAATATCATTGTTAGGTGTTTGGAGGATAATTCAATCAACCATTGTTTTGTTTCGGGATTTATTCTTTTAAAAAATAAGAAAAAATTAAGAAAAAATAAAAATTTGGTAAAAATTTACTTACTCTACTTTATTTACTGTTCCGATATCAATTCCAGTGATTGTTAGATTGTTTAATTTCATTTCTAAGGATTCTCCAACATTAATCACGACTTGGTCCAGTTTTAATGGCGCAAAAGATGAAATTTTGAAGGTTTTATCTCCTAAAATCAAAAGTATGCAACCAAATACACACCAAAGTAAAAATTAATTTAATTTACCTTTAACTATGAAGGCAAACGCATTTCTCGCTGATTGTACCGCACATTCATTCAATTTCGGATCACTTAAACTGCATGCTTTAATATAATCAGCTAAAATCAATAATTTAAACAATTAAACAAAAAAAATATTAAAACACTATAAAAACTTACGTAACTTTGCACATAATGAATTATTCACGTTACTAATCACTACAATACACGTAATTAATAAGAACTTATATAAATACATTGTTGATATGTTGATGTGTTGATGATTGAAGTGATGATTGTCGATTGATGGACAGTTCACGCACACAACACGTTTATATACTTATCACAACGTGGATGTTGAATGAACTGGTTGTGACCTTGAGAAAGAATCGAGCACAGCGATTGCATGATGCGCATCGAGATAATGGGAATATCTTCGCGTTGATGCAAGTGTGAAATATTTAAGAACACGCAATTGTTTAGAGTTGAAAAGTGGGCAAGCAGAAATCTTCTGGTTACATCAAACTTTGACCTTGTACGCATTTTAATCATGTTGTAATATGAAATCGTCTAAAACGTATAATTTTATTTCGGTTAAGTCTAGTCGTATACAGTGTGTTTATTAAATATTAGACTTTTAATTAAAGAATAGTTAAATTAATTACATTCTTGTTTATGGACTTAATATGTGTCAAAGTAGTCAATTAAAATTTTAACGCCATCCTGCAATATTTTTTGTAATAAAAAGTATCCTATGTTCTTTGTGATATATTTGTTGATATTTCTACCTAATTTCATGAAGATCGGATAAGTAACTTTCGCCTTAAAGCGAAACAAACATACAAAAACACAAAAAACACATTTTTGCGTTGATAAAATAAAAATTAGACTTTTTAAATGATAATTTCTTCAATAGGAACATTTTTCAAAAATGGTTTGACTGCTTCTTGTATCATTGCAGTTATCAGACCGACAAATCCTGGGTGAAATTCTTGTTCCACTTCCCTCCAGTTTTCATTGATAAAAAGATTAACGTTATCGCCTGTGAATTATTAAAATAATCAGTAAATACTCAATAAAACACGTTTTGTTCTATTTATATTTAATATTTACCTAAAACTTTATCGCCATTAAAGAGATTATCAAAACGCATGCGCACGGCAGCCATCTTGGCTATGGTCTCATCGCTTTCAATCTCGTAATATTCTTTACCATCTCGTTCCACAACTTTTAAATTGACAGAATACTCAATTTCAACTTTATCTAAAATAATTACGAATTTTAAGATGTGTAATGTTGGTTGCATATATTATTTTAAAGCTAACCCATTTCAATCCGACATTTTCCTTTGCCTTCCACCGGAATAATCATCAATTTGCCACTGACTTCATAATCAGAATCACCGACAACGTCATAAGTTGCTTTAAAATGCCATTTGTTAGTGTCTGAATTTACACTGGAAGTAAAAAATGTAAAGATTATAATATACTGGGTGTTTATAACGTAAATTATGTTTTACTTTGCTTCTGTTAAAGTAAATGCACTTATCAATGCTTCTCCGTTGAGTAATTGTATTTTAAGGCCATCCCCTTTGGATAAGTCAAGTTTTTCGTACTTAAACGGATTTAACGGGCGGATTTTGAAAGGTTTATAACCTTTAAACATCTCAGGGATGGCTTTCTGTGCTGAGGCAAGCGCGCATGCGTGGTCATTTTTTGCACAAGCCGTAATAAACGGCGCTATAGAAATTAAGAGAACAGAAGTGTAAAAAAAGTAAAAATTTGGTTGCATACTTACGTAATTTAGCACAATTCACATAGAAAACTATTGAAATTAGGAAAATAATTGTTTTAAACATGATTAAAACAATAAATATAAAGATTTAGGTTAGTTTTTAGTATAATACGTAAAATTGTTGAAAATATCAGTCATCTTCACGTATTTATAGTCAATTGAAACTGAATTTTACCCGTTAACTCATCTTATAGACATAAAAATAGAAAAAAAATATGAATTAGTTAATGATAAACAAGCATATTAATATTGTGATGCAAGCTAATACGAATATAATGCGATATACGTAAATGCAACATAAAGATAAAAATACTCTAGGCAACCAAAATTACATAACCAAACAAAGCAAAACGTCAAACATTAAAATAAACTCCAGACAAGCAAAAAACCGAATAAATTATTAATATTAATGTCTCCAGACATAAAAATCATCTGTTTTTATTTGTTATAACCAACTCATGACCAACTCATGAATCCAGGTTAACTAATTACGCACGTACTTGTTCTGCGCATGTCAGTGTTCAAAGTACCATTGCATTTTTATTAACAACAATCGATTCAATAAACAATTAACAATAATTATTAAATTATTGCACATTCAAGGATATTCCAGAAGTAATAAATATAATTATACGTTGTTGACATCAATATTGTTGCATAAATAAATAAATAAACAAATAATTTTATTAAAAAAATTATAAAATGAAATTTTAAATAAACACATTGTATATTCTCCTAAAATCAGGAATATGGTTGGTTGCGAATTCAATTAAATTATTTATTACAATTTGTTTACAATGTGTATCATATTTGTTAATGTGTTAATCCTAACCTTGAAAACAAATCGTGTACTTATATACCATATGGTCAGAGAGTCTTATCATAGTAATTTCGTAAAAATTGTATTTTACTGTGCGATTTGCGATTATCATTGAACACTAATTTATCATTATCGAACACATCACACTTGTTTTAGGTTATGCTTCTTCTGTTACAGCTATGTACGTATGGTTGCCAATACAAAAGTGTTACGTTTGTAGAGTAATGTTGCGTGTTGCGTATATATTCATATATCGTATTGTATTGTAGTATTGCTTGTTCACACAATGTTAGAGGTTAGGTTATGTTATTGCCTACGCCAAACAAACACACAGTGATTCCTTGTGAGGTTAGTAGTTAGTAGTTGTTGACAATGGCGGTCTCCGCCGAGCTGCCCATGCTTTCGAGGACGCAGACGGCGTCGCTGCTGGTCTGCGTCGTCTTGTCCGACTTTCATAAATCCGGCACGGCGGCGTCGACCATGCGCATTTCGTGCACGCCATTACAACGCGCGTGGTGATGATGATGGTGCGCATGCGCAAAGTGGCCACCATGGTGGAAGTTACGTTGGAGGTTATGTAGGGATGATGAGGATAAAGTACGTTCGAGGATTTCGCCCCAGTATTTTTCCGAGAGGCCTTCAAGGTCGCAGCCTTGTGTGTGGCCGCCATGACGGATGGAACTTGAATTACTACTGCAGTTGTGTTGTTTTTCTTCTTTTGGTTTACTACAACAAAACTACCGCGAAATTCATAGGTTATTTTGTTAGTAGAGTTTTGAGGTTAGTTTCTTACGCGTCCGAAGAGTAGTTCACGACTTATCCGCCGGAATTGATTGTTGAGTAGCCAATAAAGGAAAGGATTCCAGAAGCTGTTGCTCAGTGCAAGCCACGTGGCGATGAAGTCAAGTGCTGCGGGTGCACGTGATCCTGTACATGCAGCGACTACTTCCTGTATGGTCCACGGTGTTACCAACACGATGAAGCCTAGTGACATTGCTGCCATCGTGCGGGAAGCGTTGGTACTAAGTCTACGCTCTTGACACACCAGCTGGAAGAGGGTTATGGAAACATTGCGTTAGTAATTGTTAAATAACTACGGAACGGTTAGAGGTACTTAAATTATTTAAAAGTTATTTGGTTAATGATTAAATTCTACGTAATTAAGTACTTTTATAAAATGTTTGTATCATGCATAGTTTGGGAGATATTTGGGTTCAAAGTTAAAGAAGCATTTTTATTGATGTTGTGGGATAATTTATATCTGAGAAAATCTAAAATAACATTAAAAACGGCAAAAGATAATTTAAATGTTTAAAATGTTATGGATTAACAATTAAATTTGGCATGATTAAGTACTTATGTAAAATTTTGGTGTCCTGGATAGTTTAGGAGATAATTGATATCAAAATTAAAGGTATTTTTATTGATTTTATGACAGAATTTTCATTTTTATGTCCTTGAACAACTTATAAATATAAAATATGACTTTATGACATAATATAACAAAAATATTATTTCTAATTGTTATTAGTTCCATATAAAAAACACAAAAACTAATTGAGATACCTATTAAATAAATAATAAACGCCATGAGGACATTTTCCAATTTAAACGGAAAAAAAGCTTTCTTCTTAGGTTTCTCTTTAAACATAGAATAATACCTTTCTATAACTTCTATAATCCCAAAATCTAACAACCCTTTTAAATAATAATTGAATATTTTCAGGAAAGGATGCCCTTTCTGCATCAACACTTGCGTATAAAACGTAATCGTCGGTGGCATGACATACAACAGCGAGTTGCCATCTTGCCCCACATATTTGCCCTCCAATTTCATCAGATAGGCAACCGTACGTTGATTATGATGCGTTGCAGTGTCCTTATTCACAGCACCACGCTCCAGATAAACCTCCAAGTCACTTATACTCGTCACCAACCATCGATTGTAAATCTCTCTGATTGCATCGTCGCCATTTTTATTATTATCTGCAAATGCAGCACGACTAAAACTCGTCCCGGCAAAAATCAGACTACTCGCTGCTAAATCCTCATAGGTTTTTGGTTGGTGTTCGGATATTGGCCGCACAATAAACGACAACAACATATTTTGAAAAGAAGACGTGTAGACGAATGCAAACAGTGTAAAAGTCATAAAAATAATACGATTTATCAATACAGAAGGTTGTAGAGTTGCTTGTGAAGTGAAAATAGCAACACCTTCAAGCATCAACTGTCCGCCATTTTGTTTAATGGTAGATTTGTATCGCCCACATGACATAACCAAGTTTCTGAGGATTATATACAAAATAAATGTAAATATAAGTGATACCCATGTCCAGGGAGTGAAAACCGTTGTAATATTAATCCAGGCAGGAAGATATCCTGCTCTAGGTACCCAGAAAGATAACTCTGTAGGTAGATATAACATAGAACTGCAAAAATCTACATCGTACTCGGTTAATGACTGAACATTACCCACTAATACATCGGCTTGTCTGTTGTAGACAACTGCATACATATCTGTGTATGTATGGTTGCCTAATATAGATCCCCATGTAGTATAATTATGATCAATATATTTCACGGTTATGTTAGCTTGTTTAGCGATGATTTCTAACATCCAGTATTCAATTCCATCATATGTTTTTTCTCCGCCATCTTGTTTTACGATGATATATGGTACAATAGGCATAGCTACTACTTCTAAAGTACAATTTGTATATTTTGGTATTGTTTGCTCATAAGTAAGGTTAGAATTTAATTTTTTTCGGGTGATTTTTGTAGGTCTGCAGTTATTTAATGTTTCCGGTGAGTTATCACTCGCGTAAACATTACATTCGTTGTTTATAGTGTTGTTGAAGAACACCAGAGGGTATGTGTATGTATACCAAGCTGATTCCAAAATGGCGGCGATAGATTTCTCAATATTTTCACTACGTTTAGGTAAATAAACAATAAAAACATGTGAATCTGCATTAAACCAATGAGATTTATACCAGTTCTTAAAAAAATCACTAATTATCATCGTATTTTGTGTTATCATAACAATATTATCAATTTTTCTTTTTTTATTTTGATTGTTTATATTATTAGATCGAAATAAACACATAATTTCCCATTGTGCTATGTTTACAAACCCTCCAATGTAGAATTCAACAATATTCGCCTCTAGAACTTCATCGTAGATAAATAATCCGTAATTAGTTGTACTCGTATTATTTGATAATAATAACTTGATACAAGCTATATTATTAATATGTATATTATTGTTGGGTTCTTGTGGTAGTAGAAACATGTTTTCTGTATTTACGCAACGGCAATAAATATAAATGATTACCGAAATGCACAGAAAGGCAGCGTTTTGAGAAAACATTTTTTAAACATGGATCTAAAAAGACTAACAATTCACCACTGATTTTGTTTAGTGTTTGGTTGTTCTATTATGTATATGCCAAGTGATAAAATCTGGTTTAATTTGAAGAAAAAACTGATTATTGATTTTTGTTTATATGCGATGAATAACTAATGTGTTATGTGGACAAACGTGTTGCAAGTTTACGACATACTTTACTATGACATTATTATATATATCACGGATTAATATTTAAAAAGTTATGATAATTATGAGCAATTAATTTGAAAAATTAAAAAGATAGAAACTGAAAGTTTGAAAAAATCATGTTTTTGTTTGATAATAGACTATAAATATTTAATGAGCAGTGATATTAATAATATACTCATTAAATTAATGTCTTGAACTTGTAGTAGTTGCATAAATAATTCATAGCAGTCTTATTGTTGATAGATTTATACTAATTCTTAAAAAAATCATTAATTATTATCGTACGTTGTGTTATCATAACAATATTATCAATTTTCCGCGTAATATTTAGATTGTGCATGTTATTAAACTGAAACAAACGCATAACTTCCCATTGTGCTACTTCTATAAGCGCCGCAATGTACAATTCAACAATACTCGCGTCTAGAATTTCATCATAAATAAACAACCCCTAATTAATTGTATTATTAGATCATAATAATTAGATAACCTAACACAAGAAATATTATCAATATATTCCTATATATAGTATTATTATGTTTCACTAAAACATGCTCTTTGTTCTTTCATTATTTATAATCTATTTTAAATCTACTTTAAAAAATAATGAAAAAACAATTATTGATCTTTATTTTTTATAATACTAATAAATAACTAATGCGTTATGCAAACCAACATGCTGCAAGTTTACGACCTACCTTAATAAATACAATAACGACGTTATTATTTACTTTCATTTTAAAATTTATATAAATAATTAGTAAATATTTGCAAAAAAATAGTTAACTCTAGAAAGAAATACAATTTATATCTCACAAAACACTATAAATATATAACCAACATAAATATTAATAACATAATTATCAAATTAATACCATGAACTTGTAGTATTTACATAAATTATTCACAACACAATTGTTTTTGTTCCTATTAATATTTTCTATATCCATATACAAAAAACAACTTTTTCTTACCCAGTTATCATTACAACAGTGTTGTGATACGAGTATGTCCACTGCACGCATAAATCTATTCATCTCCACAACAATTTTATTTACTTACTCGTATGTACAAGTCCAAACACAAAATGCACATTTACTCCCAACCAGTATGGATCTCCACCACCACCTCAACAACATCGACTGCGTGGAGCATTTGATAAATGACGAAGACATCAATTACGGATTGTTTGCCTTCGACGCCGCTTTGGACGCCAACATCGTCGAGCTCTACTTCGGCGCATTAGTGCACACATCCCACAGCGACGACGAAGGCCACGAAACTTCCGAATATCACACATGGGAAGTTATGAAACTAACGCACCATACTAACGCCATCTGGCGGAATAAATTCAACAATCTTCTCTCAGAAGACGCGCCAAAGCTACGCATCGACAACATTGTATTCGTCACACAACACGCAACAATAATAACCGAATTCTTTCAATCATGGTATAAATCCAAATGGTACAACAGTGACTGTCAACTGTTTATTGTCTATTTACCTGAAAATCATGAGAATTATGAGGATTCCTCGCCGCCATTTTGAAAACCGCTTGGTATACATACACATACCCTCTGGTGTTCTTCAACAATACGATAAACAACGAATGTAATGTTTATATCAGTGATAACTCACCAGAATCACTTCGTAATTGCAGATCAACGAAATTTAAACGATCTACATTCAATACAAAACATTTACATGAAGGAGATTTGATAAAATACAGAAAAACACGACCGAGATTGAATCATTGCACGTTGGAGGTCATGGCAATGTCATTAGTACCTTATATCGTCATAAAAAAAGTTGGTAACTCTGAAATAGTCGAAGGAATCGAAGGAATATTCCTCTCTGAAATAGCTGCGCATGCTAACCTTACAATTAAATTCATAAAACACAACTATAGTGACTGGGGACAGTATTATAGTAATCGTACGTATACGGGAATGTATGCAGCCCTACTTGCACGTGAAGCCGACATAGTCATCGGTAATGTCCGGTGTTTATCCGATTTACAGCTGGATTTCTCCGGATCCACACCATACCTACCTTCGGATTTGAGTTTTTTCGTCCCTAGGGCAGGATATCTTCCAGCCTGGATCAATATGACGACTGTTTTCACCCCGTGGACTTGGGTATCACTCATTTGTACACTTTTTGGGTATATTTTCCTAAGATATTTGGTTATGTTACATTTGGGAAGCAAAACTAACCTTAATCAAGATGGCGGACTACTGGTGCTTGAAGGTGTGGCTATAGTCATCGCAGAATCAACTCCACAACCAGTTTTATTAGTGAATCGGATTATTTTTATGACTTTTACACTGTTTGCGTTCGTGTACACGTCTTCGTTTGAAAATATGTTGTTGTCGTTTATTGTGCAGCCTATATCCGAGCACCAACCGAAGACGTATGAGGATTTGGCGGCGAGTAGTCTGATTTTCGCAGGGACGAGTTTCAGTCGTGCGGCGTTCGCGGATAAT